CCCACCAGGAAGTGAATAGGGGCTAGAGGAAAACGAACCTGTAGCAGTCATTCCACTGTACCATCCTCCAAAAGATTTTTATCCGGGACCACGACCAATATATGTGGAAGGCAGCTAGTATTTTCAGGAGATAAAGAAAAATGACATTCTCCATGTTTCTGTCATGACAGGTTTGTTTTAGACATTTGCCCCACCCAGAGGTCAGTGTCAGAATCTTTACACCAATAGTAAATAAAAGTAATTCACCGGCACACACTTGAAGGGTTTTTAAAGTATTGATATGTTTATTCAATACCCAATGTCACATACTGTCATACAGTGCTGACGTTTCGGGTCCGCACAGGGATCCTTCATCAGAGCGACAGTGACTGACTGTCACTGTCGCTCTGATGAAGGATCCCTGTGCGGACTGAGGGTCACTGTCGCTCTGATGAAAGATCCCTGTGCGGACTGAGGGTCAATGTCGCTCTGATGAAGGATCCCTGTGCGGACTGAGGGTCACTGTCGCTCTGATGAAAGATCCCTGTGCGGACTGAGGGTCAATGTCGCTCTGATGAAGGATCCCTGTGCGGACTGAGGGTCACTGTCGCTCTGATGAAAGATCCCTGTGCGGACTGAGGGTCAATGTCGCTCTGATGAAGGATCCCTGTGCGGACTGAGGGTCACTGTCGCTCTGATGAAAGATCCCTGTGCGGACTGAGGGTCAATGTCGCTCTGATGAAGGATCCCTGTGCGGACTGAGGGTCACTGTCGCTCTGATGAAAGATCCCTGTGCGGACCCAAAACGTTAGCACTCTGACAGTATGTGACATTGGGTATTGAATAAACATATCAATACTTTAAAAACCCTTCAAGTGTGTGCCAGTGAATTACTTTTATTTACGATTAGTGTTTTGCACGGCGCCATCCGTGTGGTCACCTGGGCACCACACATACCTTGTGGTTTTGAGACCGTGGCAGTGCGAATGGGATTTGGACTTTGTTGCGAGAATCTTTACACCTTCACATGGAAAGCAAACATTTCCCAGAGAACACTGCCAGACGTCTTCCGACATACACTTAGTACTGCAGTAGCACTTCACATACAGTAGTGACGAGAACCAGGAGCCCTGAGCCAATGAGGCTCAGAAGGGTAAAACAGTATCATTTAGGAGTCAGGATTCCGGTTTAACAAAGGCCGTGAGAGGTTTTAAAACCCGGCGCCGTCCGTTACAGCAGACTGCCCTGTTAACTAAATGCAGCAGCTATACTACGCCTCAGATCATATTCAAAACATTGACAGCTATGGAACTGACAGCAGCAAAGTAAGAGGTTCCAGCCAGTGGGTACGCGAATGCCCTGGCACTGCAGCCAGCCCTCAGTGATTGTCTGCTTGGGGAGGCATTTGCTCGATAATCACTCCTGGTTCTGCGGCCTTCTGTCATACTGCAGGGCCAAACACCAAAACGCAGGCGAGCGATTCGTGCTCAGAATACAAGTCAAAGCCCCCCTACACACATCGAGCCGCCTGCAATGTAGCTGCATCATTTTACCTGTTCTCCGCCAGTCTAGACATTTCTAAATCTACTTTATAAGTAACTATCTGCAAAAAACCACAGATGGTGAGCTTTATACTTCTGCAGATGTCATGTCCGTTACAAGGCCGCACTGAGAAGACTGACAAGGATGACAATGAGGTCTGCCCCCCAGTCTGCATCGCTTTGTCTTTATAAGCACAGGGTTACAAACCAGTCACCGCGAAGAAAAGATCTAACGTGACTTTATCCCAGAGAGAGGTCTTTATACAACCTCACATTTACATTCTCCAGCTATGCCTGCACAATAACCCCAGGTGTTATTAATGATCCGCAAAGTGCCCTCCAGAAGCAGGGACATCTGTAATGCTAAATAAGCAGCCCGTGTTCTATAGGAAGTGGGGGAAGGGAGGGACGGCACAAGAAAAGCCATACATGTGTCATGGTGAATGTCTGATGTGGGTAGAGGCAGTAATAAAAGGCTGCGGAAGGCTAGGTGAGGAAAGGTCATCTGTCTTTGCCGATACAATGTGGAGCACATTGACTCTCAGTAGACTGTAGAACACTTTCTTCTACCTTGTAGCTTTTGTCTACTACAAATAAAGCTGGGGAAAAAAAACCTCTTGCCTTTTGTCCTGATAATTGTGGCCCAACACAAAGAAGGACTATGGAAAAAATAAAAAAACATTTCTGAAACACTATCATCCTATCCAAATGCTGAATTGGCTCAAGAAAGGATTGTAATATAGAGGTTAACCCTATTATCCTTCAGTCTGCGCAGACAACTCTGGGCCAAAATCATCTCATGGCTAGTTCACACCAAGCGCAGAGCAGTTACAGAACGGATCAAAACTGCGTCCAATGTTTTCCAATGGTATTTTGGGCTCTAGTTCACACCAGAGCGTTCAGTTCTAGAGCATGTAGAAAAACTGCATCATGCACTATTTCTTCTGCTCTGGAACGCACCAAAACTCATACAAACATCAAAAAACACATGCAAAGCCCTGGAACGCACTGAAAGCTTGCAGCATTTTGATCGCACCAGACGGCAGGCATAATATGCCTTGTGATCCCGTGCGGCTGATCGCATTGCAGCCGGAGGGTGTGGCTACGGTGCTATTCACTTCAATGGCACGCCCCCCTCCTGCCCCACAAAAAAAGTGAGCCGGCCGCAATGTGAGGCAGCGCGTTGTGGCCAGAATTGGGCCGGAACGCACTGCATCTGGTGCGAACGAGCACTAAATGAGCTTTCAGAGAAAGGGCAAGCACTGAGGCAATACCAATGGCTCTGGACCTGGAAAGTTTAGCCAAAATTTAGAACCAATGACCGAAGCTCATTTCCAGACCATCCCCGCAGTGACATTCAAGTGGAATCTGGATACAGTACTCCAAAAGCCAGGCTGAGGACGACCATGCTGTAATCTGCAATCGAAGAGACGAAACTCCAACAGCGATGTAGAAAGGAGTCTTGATGATCAAAAAGCGAAGAAAAAAGGTGCCAACAATAAAATTAGTCTTAACACGGCAGAGGTGTAGGAAAGAAAACAATGTAGAGGCCCGGTGATTTATTAGAAGATAGAATGCAATGGGCTGGAGTACCACAAACCCCCCTCCCCCCCAAAAAAAAACACAACGCTAGCTATTAATTTAGTTGTAAAGACCAAATGATGGCTTTCTGTCAACAAGTGAATTTGCAGTATCTGGGGTCTGGTAAACCAAAGGAGACTTGAAAGCAAGACCTGAGCAGACACAATTACAATATTTCCATCCAAAACTAAACACTGGGAGCCAAAAGGTACCAATGTGTTTGTGTTTTTCCGTCACAGACCTCGCTGTGCTGACGCTGCCTTAGACACCCTAGGAGTCAAATACACAACTTTGTATATAAAGAGAAACCTGTGGCGTAACAATGAAAGACCCACAGGGCTGTTCTATACACCGCAAATGCAATTCACGTGAAGAGCAACTGATATATTGAACACAGTATGTTACCGTTATTAGTGCACACACTGCCACCTGGTGGAGATTCATTGTAAGTCTTACTCCAGGCAAAACATTTTTGGAAATACTTCTTTCGTGTTTTAATTCCTGTCTGGAACCAAATTAGGTCCAATCAGTAGGATTGTCTAAAATGACCGATTGCTCCTTTTCCATGAAAATGACAGTTGATATTGACTGAATTACCCATCGATTTCTGAAACCTAAGCTATAAAAAGCCTGTATTGCTATGTGTATGGTCAGTTAATATTACAGTGGAATATCCGTGACAGAGTTTACACTGACTCACAGACGGAGTAAGAAATGTGAGGGCCAACTGATGACAAACTCCAGCCAATCAGTTTTTTGTTTTTTAATAGTGTAGAGGAAGGTTAGACCCTCCCTCAGGCTTTTATTGCTGTCTGAATCTCCGAGACGATCACTCCTCTTTCTGTTCCAGAGACCCCATTATATGTTGTGCCATCTGTTGGGAGTGTGGGGAAATGTTTCAAGCACAGTAATTAAAAATTGACAGTGGTGCTAATTAGGGATGCACCGATACCGATACTAGTATTCGTACTCGCCCAAATGCGCCGATACTTACCTCTGATACCGGAACTTCTAGGGATAGCACATATCTCTCTGAACGCCAGTGCGGAGGGGGCATGGAGCCAGCTTCCTTTCCAATCAGGAAGTCGGGAGGTGGGTTATGACCCGGCTTCCTAATTGGCTAGGAAGCCGGCTTATCTTGTTGCTAGGCAGCCTGGCTTTCTGACCAATGAGGAAGCCGAACGGCAACCTCATGGCTCGCAAGCCGGCTTCCTGATTGGTGAGGAAGCCAGGCTGCCCAGCAACAAGTCAAGCTGGCTTACTAGCCAATCAGGAAGCCGGACAACACCTCATGGTTTGCAGCCAGGCTTCCTGATAAAATCGGGGCACACGGCACCAGTACTCGGTGTCGACAAGTACTCAAAAAAACCCCCGACATCATTGCATTCATAGTGCCAATCATCCATACGCCAAAATAAAAAATTAAACCTTGACTAAAGTTGAAATTCAATTGTTATGTTTTTAGCTGTAAAGACACCAAAGTACTCCAAAGAAACTCCACAGGAAGAATATACAAAGCTCTAATAGAAAACTGAACCCCGGATCTTGGCACTGCAAGGCAAGAGTGCTAACCATGCTCCCTCTAATGGTTTTATTCACACCTATGTGTTCTTGTTTTTGGATGTGCAGTGCAGGCACATTACATGTATCACACATGTTTCACATGCCCAATCTCTATGCAAGGCAGTTTTGCTGAAAAACATGGAAGCAAGCAGGACTTTTTCAATGAAGAATGCCTGCAATGTGAACTGGGCCTTATGCAAAAATGTTGTATGCTAGCCGAGGAGTAAAAGAACATGTTCTCTAATCTCTACCTATTGGCAGACAAAGTAAAAGTGTTACAGATATTTACACATTCAAATTTCCAGGACAGAAATAAAGTAGAAAAAAAATACTCACCCTTTCCATCTGTTGCAGAGGCTTCCTGTAGGTGGCGGATTGACCTGGTAAGAGAGACAAACTGTAACTGCAGTACATTTCAGAGCTGAAACGCAATTAAAAACACCCAAAACAGTGCAGTCCCATAGAAAGCTGTATGGAAACCGCACTGAGCAACGCAGCAAAAAAAAAGGGTGAGGGACGGTTCGGATTGCGCCGAGCCGCATGAACGGTCCCCATAGTAGTGTAGGGGATTGTTCATATCAGCAGATCCACGCGGCCGAACCGCCCTGGTGTGAACTGGGCCTAAGGCATATCTACTAGCTTAGACCCCATTCCCACTGAGCGACATGGTGAATCGCGCGTTTTTCCATGCGATTCCGTGCTGAGCGGCATTGAGCTACAATGCACATTTTATTGCGCTACGTAGCGCGACTTTTGGGACGGAATTTGTCGCTGCTACATTGGGCTCTAACCAATCAACAGCGGTCTTGATGTGACATCATTCTTTCCTTCCATTTTGCAGTGCAAAAGTGACCCTTCCGTAGCGCGATATCGTGCAATATCGCCGGTAAGGCGCGACACCATTGAGTCTATTGGGGCCGAATCGCGCGACATCCCCCTGAAAAAAGGGTCATGTACGAGCTACAAGCTTGAGCGACAAGCTACAGGCGACATGGAGCTGTGAGATGTGAACAGCTCCATTAAAAAGCATTGGACGAGCTACATTGAGCAATTTCGGGGCAGAAATCGCGTGACAAACCGCGCAGTGTGAACGGGGTCTTAGAGGGATAGCTGCATATTTCTAAAAGATACATTTCTGTGCAAAGAGCACACACACCCAATAAACTTCTATTGGTGATTGCGACTGCTATCCTGGACAATGGGATCCATCATTGAGATGCAAAGTGCTTGCACTTCATGCAAAATATGCATTTGCCTACATCATGGTGCTTAAGAGCTGTGAAACCCATAATGCTTTTTGAAAGGCTGCTGCTTATTTATTCTAGAGCTCAATGAGCAATTGTACAATTGTGTGACTAAAACTGTACCAAAGCCAAGGACTGTAAATCAGTGACTTATCTGTTTTGCATTAACAACTGCCCCGGTCACTTCTTTCTGTATTAGGCAATTTTAAGTACAGAAACATTGTATTTCCCCATTTTAAAAACAGCTTACTGTCTGAACAAGGATTGTGGAAAAGCACCATGATTTTTCTCAATTATGACTTTAAAAGTCACCCGTATAGCTTTTCCCCATAGTTCTCCTAAGGGTCACGGGAGAACACAAACTAGTGTCCTCCCGTCACCCAAAGCTCAGTATACCGCGAGCTGCACTGAGACGCCGCAGCCGGGACGGATCCTGACAATGTCTGGATCCACCCAGCTGTACCCGCTCCCTCCAGTTCTGCCAGTCCATGCTGGAGGACCCGTGCAGGGAGGGGGGGAAATCTCTGCAGGGAGCCGTGAGTGAGTCACAGCTCTCTGCAGGGACAGGATCGAGAAGCGAGCGAGCGACGGTATGTGTTCGCTCAATTCCCGATCTATTGAGCCGACGTGTGACAGTTTCATTATCACACGTCGGCTCTAAATTTGAGGCTGAGTGATTTTCACTCGCCTCATAGTGCTCCTTTATAGGGACGTATACCTGGGATGTTCAGAATACACAAGTATAAAAAACACAGGCTTATAGTTTTAAGAGGAATAAAAGCATGTGTATGCACAACATGAGACAATGGACCAGACTCCCAGAGGAGTTGAGACAAAGAGATGAGACACACAATGTGGCAGTGCAGCTATGCACCAGTATAGGCAGACTTGTATCTGCACAATGACTAGAGGAAGTGAAAAGATGAACATCAACTACCTGTGTTGTGATCTCTCAAACCTACACTTATGCTTTCCTGGATAGTGGCAAAGGCCCAGCAGAACATAGGATTCTGGCAGCTAAATGTCTTCAGGAAGTCCCCAATTGCTTTTGCCAAATAAATATGTAAGAGTATCCAAACAAAAATACAGATTGGTTCTGTGATGGGTGATCAAGTGTCCAACCAAGAGAAGTAGCCCTCAAGCTGCAACTTGGAGTGTACACAGGGCTGTGCAGTAGAGATTTAAAGGGAAGGCAAGTATAAGCTGCTGTGCGGGATAATAGGGCTGACCCTGTCACTTTAAAGTGTATGGGCAAAGCAAAGATACACATAAAAAAAATCTAATTTTTTTAAAAGTTTAAATACAGCTAGAATGAGTACCCAAATATATCCTTACATATTTCTGTATTCCCCTGCACAGCAAGACTAAGGCCCCATTCACACGGGAATCAGCCGGCAAGTACAGCTCCGTGCTGCATGCACAGCCGTATCGGGCACCTCCCAGGAAGGACAGGTGCTGCGTGTGATTAGTACGCAGCCCCTGTCCCTCTCTATGGGAGTACGCGGCCGTACGCCCCTCTACGCTCACCTGCACTGCACGTCCTTGTGGGTGAGCATCCTCGTATGCGGACAGGATGGATCCTGTCTATGTCCGAGCCAGGAAACACGCACCCGCATGGACCTGCACTTGAGGTGAGCGTAGGGGGCGTATGGCCTCTTAGCCCTCGTTCACACCTGAACGTTTTGTAGCGCGTTCTACGCTCGACGAACGCTCTACAAAATGCTCAAACATCTAAATTCCATTGTATTCAATGGGTCTGGTTCACACCTTGGCGTATTTCAGCCCGTCCCTAACGCGCTACAAAACGGCCCACGCCTGAAAAGGTACATGTACTACTTTGGGCCGTTTTTGTTGCGCATTTCCATTGGGATACAGCCAAATAGCCCTCGGAAACGCGCGTTTGTCACGCAATTTTTTTTTACAGCGAATCGTGGTAAAAAAACGCGCGACAGACGCGCATATGCAATACGCCTAGGTGTGAACCAGGGCTTAGTCCCATAGAGAAAGACAGGGGCTGCATACTAATCACACGCAGCACTTGTCCTTCCCGGGAGCTGCCCGATACGGCTGTGCACGGAGCTGTACGTGCCAGTCGATTCCCGTGTGAATGGGGCCTTAGACTGGGGGAGGGTGGGAGAGCAGTGTAAGCCAATGTCCTCTTGATAAAACAGTAGCTTGCTGACAGAGAGAGAGTAGAGTGAGAACCTCACAAGTTCAGAGATGCTGGTTCAATGTCCAATTGGCCAGCTGGGTTAGGTGGGTGACCAAGCTGTACTGCCTAACTGCAGTCGAGAAAGTTAGGCCATGGACATAACTGTTCTGCCTTGAGTGCAGAACGTCTGACTAGTAGGCCTTCCTTGTACATGATGTTTATCATAGCAGAACAACCTAGTAGACTTACCATATAACTGGGAACAAGATGGCGCCACAACACAGGAGGTCTACAAGGAACAGGATTTCTTTCCACAGCCCATACTCTGTCGTGCCCTGCTCTGTAGACTCTATGATGATGTAAGCTACATTAGCTAGTACCTGCCAACAGAATCAAGGCATTAAAATGCATGCATGCGACCTTTGTTCAAAAACAGTTAAAGCAATATTGCTTAGTTCACATTAACTCAGTTCATTGTAAAATATAGTATTTCCATTTCCTGCAACCAGTTTTGGCTCCTCCCAAGAATGTAGAATTCACTCAGACTTTGCACAAATTAAGTTCAGATTTTCAAACAAGCTTTCAGCATGTCAAAGATACACTGGGGACGGGGGGACAAATCTCCACCGGGATCCAGAGAGATGCCGTGAGCAGGAACATTCACTTTTCAATGTTAAAAAAACGTAGTAACAGTTTACTTTAAAGGGCAGGTCTACTTGAAGTGCGCAAGTGTCAACAAGCGCTCACCTGCAGAGGAATCACAATCATGAAGATCTTTTTGTCCTTGTCAGACAGGATGTGTTTCACAAAGGCCCAGCCTGTTCCAATCAGTGCAATGGTGATGAACAGCAGTGCCCCTTTCAGCCTGATGAATGAGAAAAATGGGGATTAGCTTGCAGTAAAAGGCCTTTAGACCTTGGAAAACAGATCAGAATACTAACTGGAAATGTTACAGTGAAAGATGAAGCCTATTGAATAGGTTGGAAAACTGGCCAAAAACACAAACTAAATCCATCTAATGTCTGATCACTGAAGTACAATCAGTGAAAAATGAATTCTGATTGCTTTGCATTCCAGGTATTAAAACACAGTCGTCTTTCGTTTCTAAGAGCTCAGTTATATAGTTCTAGGTAGTGCGCTTCAGTCAGACAGGGGAGTGACGGGAAGAAAAAGTAAGGAGGGCAGCAATGAAGTGAACCTGCTTCTCTGCCCTGTATGGGTAAAGCACAGGCTCTTTAAAGGGCCTGTTCCCATGATTATCAAGTCCTGATCAGGTGCGGATCTGCAGACGCGGTGCTATGTGTTTTGCTGCGTTCCAGTTAAACAAAAATAAAATATTTAAATTTTTTTTGTGCTGGAGTTGGGCTGTCAGTATGTTAGCTGCAGTGCGTTTTTGACGCGTTTTGCGCTTACGGACCATTTCCTGGCCGTACAAAATGTGACATGCAGTATTTTTTCTGTCCTAACCTGAACGGACTGCGCACGTGAGAACTGTAGCCCATAACACACATAGGGATACATTTTTAGTGCAGGAGCGTACGGATCAGGTCAGCACAGAAAACGGACGTCGTGTGAACAGGCCCTTAGGGGTAAAGCTATGCCAACAAGTAAGATTAAGGGCTTTTCACACCATGGCCAGTCAGCTGCATTTTTCAGCACAACTCCACACATGTATGGTGTGAACAGGGTACATAAACAAATTGTTTTCCGTGTACTCTGTTCACATTATACACGGCGGTGGTGTGCGAAAAAAAAAGCTTAACAGACAGAGGGGAATCTATCAAAACTGGAGCAGGCAGCATCTGGAGCAGTTGCCCATGGCAACCAATTAGCATCTCTCTTCAGTTTGCTGAGGTAAGACTTGAAAATGAGACAGGGAAGCTGATTGGTTGCAGTGCAAATCTTCTCCACATTTTCTCTGCTCCAGTTTTGATAAATTCCCCTCACTGTGTCCTAAAAGAGAATGGCTGAAATACTTGCCTTTCGTCTGGGAAAACTCCAAACTGTGATCAAAAGCCTAGGTATTTGATCATGTGATCACTGTTGTGGTGGAGAATTAACCAATTTTCACTCTGGTCCTCCCTTTCAACAGAAATCACATGGCATAAACTTCTGAACATGTGACAAACAAGTGCATTTAAAATTACACCATTCCTCCATCCCAGCAAGACAATGAATGTGGTTTTAATGTTAACATAGGAGCATAGTTCCACTGTTTCCAATGCAGTTTCCACAGTTTGTCTAAGTTTATATTGGGGTTATGTCCTTAATGTAGATTTAAAGCCCATTTACACCTTTGTAAGTGATTTGTTTTTTGTGGTAATGTAGAGGCGCGGGGGTGATGTATATGTGTGTGTGTTGTTATCTGTAAACTGCAATCAGCTGATTCCTATCTGCTCTGCTGAGCTTGTGTTCTGTGTGTGAGGGAGATCTCCTGCACTTGTTGTGTCTGTAGACCTTCTCCGTCACTGTGTTCTGTGTGTGTGAGGGAGATCTCCTGCACTTGTTGTGTCTGTAGACCTTCTCCGTCACTGTGTTCTGTGTGTGTGAGGGAGATCTCCTGCACTTGTGTCTGTAGACCTTCTCTCTGTCATTGTGTTCTGTGTGTCTGAGAGAGATCTCCTGCACATGTTGTGTCTGTAGACCTTCTCTCTGTCATTGTGTTCTGTGTGTCTGAGAGAGATCTCCTGCACATGTTGTGTCTGTAGACCTTCTCTCTGTCACTGTGTCTGTGTGTCTCTCAGATCTCTCCCTCTCCAGGGCCAGGATTTACTCTGAGACTGAGAGGACAACTAAAAAACAGTAAGTTTTTGTGTTTATATCCAGGATCTGCATATGACGGCATCATCTACACAACGTGTACATTGCTGGCATACTTTTTTTTTTTTTTTTTATGATTGCTTTGCATTCCAGGTATTAAAACACAGTCGTCTTTCGTTTCTAAGAGCTCAGTTATATAGTTCTAGGTAGTGCGCTTCAGTCAGACAGGGGAGTGACGGGAAGAAAAAGTAAGGAGGGCAGCAATGAAGTGAACCTGCTTCTCTGCCCTGTATGGGTAAAGCACAGGCTCTTTAAAGGGCCTGTTCCCATGATTATCAAGTCCTGATCAGGTGCGGATCTGCAGACGCGGTGCTATGTGTTTTGCTGCGTTCCAGTTAAACAAAAATAAAATATTTAAATTTTTTTTGTGCTGGAGTTGGGCTGTCAGTATGTTAGCTGCAGTGCGTTTTTGACGCGTTTTGCGCTTACGGACCATTTCCTGGCCGTACAAAATGTGACATGCAGTATTTTTTCTGTCCTAACCTGAACGGACTGCGCACGTGAGAACTGTAGCCCATAACACACATAGGGATACATTTTTAGTGCAGGAGCGTACGGATCAGGTCAGCACAGAAAACGGACGTCGTGTGAACAGGCCCTTAGGGGTAAAGCTATGCCAACAAGTAAGATTAAGGGCTTTTCACACCATGGCCAGTCAGCTGCATTTTTCAGCACAACTCCACACATGTATGGTGTGAACAGGGTACATAAACAAATTGTTTTCCGTGTACTCTGTTCACATTATACACGGCGGTGGTGTGCGAAAAAAAAAGCTTAACAGACAGAGGGGAATCTATCAAAACTGGAGCAGGCAGCATCTGGAGCAGTTGCCCATGGCAACCAATTAGCATCTCTCTTCAGTTTGCTGAGGTAAGACTTGAAAATGAGACAGGGAAGCTGATTGGTTGCAGTGCAAATCTTCTCCACATTTTCTCTGCTCCAGTTTTGATAAATTCCCCTCACTGTGTCCTAAAAGAGAATGGCTGAAATACTTGCCTTTCGTCTGGGAAAACTCCAAACTGTGATCAAAAGCCTAGGTATTTGATCATGTGATCACTGTTGTGGTGGAGAATTAACCAATTTTCACTCTGGTCCTCCCTTTCAACAGAAATCACATGGCATAAACTTCTGAACATGTGACAAACAAGTGCATTTAAAATTACACCATTCCTCCATCCCAGCAAGACAATGAATGTGGTTTTAATGTTAACATAGGAGCATAGTTCCACTGTTTCCAATGCAGTTTCCACAGTTTGTCTAAGTTTATATTGGGGTTATGTCCTTAATGTAGATTTAAAGCCCATTTACACCTTTGTAAGTGATTTGTTTTTTGTGGTAATGTAGAGGCGCGGGGGTGATGTATATGTGTGTGTGTTGTTATCTGTAAACTGCAATCAGCTGATTCCTATCTGCTCTGCTGAGCTTGTGTTCTGTGTGTGAGGGAGATCTCCTGCACTTGTTGTGTCTGTAGACCTTCTCCGTCACTGTGTTCTGTGTGTGTGAGGGAGATCTCCTGCACTTGTGTCTGTAGACCTTCTCTCTGTCATTGTGTTCTGTGTGTCTGAGAGAGATCTCCTGCACATGTTGTGTCTGTAGACCTTCTCTCTGTCATTGTGTTCTGTGTGTCTGAGAGAGATCTCCTGCACATGTTGTGTCTGTAGACCTTCTCTCTGTCACTGTGTCTGTGTGTCTCTCAGATCTCTCCCTCTCCAGGGCCAGGATTTACTCTGAGACTGAGAGGACAACTAAAAAACAGTAAGTTTTTGTGTTTATATCCAGGATCTGCATATGACGGCATCATCTACACAACGTGTACATTGCTGGCATACTTTTTTTTTTTTTTTTTAGCAATACCCCCACAGAAGGGGGCAAAATGTCCTTTAAAGCGGACCTTTACCTCCTTTGACTAAAAATCACATCAGCATGCTGCTCTGCATACGGATATGAAATCTTCTTGCATTCATTAAACAAACATTTTTATTTTAACTCACAATTTTTGTTTTCTACTTCCTGGTCCACTTGAGCACAAAGGATGTAATTGTGCGCAAGCATTGCATCCTGGGAAGGTTACATCAGCAGAGCATTGCAAGGAAATGTCATCTGTAATCTAACAAGATCTCAAGGAAAGGCATTTACCTCCCCTGAGATGATGTGCATGGGTCACATGTCCTAGTCACATGTGCCAGAGTTCCAGGAAGTAAAGGGAGATATATTAATTTGCACTTAGTTAAAATGAGAACTATGAGGGGAGTGCTTTTCACCCACCTCATAGTTCTAGCCGACCTGTGACAATGAGACCGTCACAGGTCAGCTCAATAGATCGGGAGGTGAGCGAACACATACCGGCTTTCGCTAACCTCTCGATCCTGTCACGGCTCTCTGCCGTGACAGGGGAGGGGCTGGATTCCCCCCTCCAATCCGCCAGTGCTGACTGGCGGAACGGACGGGTACAGCTGGCTCTGCCTCTAGATAGGCAGAGCCAGCTGTCAGTCACGCAGCTGGGCGGATCCCGGCACAATTGTCGGGATCCGCTTCAGCTGCGGCGTCTCAGTATACAGCGAGCTACAGATCGCTGTATACTGAGTCTAGGGTGACGGGAGGACGCTAGTTTGTGTCTTCCCGTTACCCTAAAGAGAACTATGGGGAGAGAACTAAAAGACTTAACCCCATAGTTCTCCTTTAAAAAAAAAATGGTCACTGTAGAAGAATGGGGAGGAAAAGAAAAATAAGATATTGAATAATCTATAAGTATGTGTTTGTAGATTGTCATTACTACACTTGTCCAAAGATGCCTTTGTTGTCATTTTGAAAATATGAGTAAAGTTCTCCTTTAAGTCGTGCTTAATGGAGGTCTAATCTAAATAAACCCTGGACAGTGTTATGTCAATTTTCTACTCACAAGTGAGTGATGTAGTACACCACAGCCCATCCTTCAATGGGATATCCTTGAGTTGCGATATAATGATAATCGATCTAAAGCAAAAAACACAATAAAACCATTATATTAGTACTGTGTGCATCTCCTAGACTCACAACTCAGGTCATAATATTAGTTCACAGACAATAAAACACTTAGCACAACAGTCCAGTACCAAATTATGGGTGTTCACTAGAAGGTCTGAAAATTCATTGCTAAATGGTGGGACTAATTGTCAGGAGGGGACAGAAATCAAGGCCCTGCCTACAGCCTGACACTGGAATCCACAATGCTCCAGCAGTATCATAACCAAGTTTTAAGACCTAACAAGTTCACCTGATAAACAAAAAACAACTTTGATTTTAGTGAGCCATACTAATAGCAGCCTCCAGCCATCCAGCGCAGTGTGTCCCATCCACAGGAAAGAATGGGACCATTGTGCGAGTGACCAGTAGGAAAAAGATCCTGGCTGCAATGTTTTTCTTGCAAACGTTATGTGGTGTCTGGCAGGACAGCACAGTGAAGATCGCAGTAGTGGGGAGGAAGGCAAGTATTTACCAGGCAGGCTGAGTTGGGGGTTTACTTATAGCCCAAGACCATGCAGGAGAACCTTTCCAGGTTTATATCCGCATACACGCCTTAGCCTCATCTTCTAACCTCCAACAATACAAAATTGTCTTAAAACAAATTTGTTTATATGCCCAAGTAGCACAGCTCCTGCTGTACTTCCCTGCTGCTCTGCCTGCAAGTCCTGCAGGTCTCTTAGACCTCAGCGCTTTCCCCACTTTCCTCCAGGCCATTCAAAAACAAAGCCTGGGGGCATTGCTTTGTGACTGGCCAGGAAGAGAGTTGGTTGGAGATGTGACCGCAGCACTGTCTTACAGCCGGAGTGGCCCGGATGTACAGCAGGAGCTGTACTACATTGGGCAAGTAAACAAAAAATGTAAAATCAAGCTTTATATATATCCATGTACCGTATTTTGCGCTCCATAAGGCGCACCGGACCATAGGACGCAGGCAGGTTCTGTGACAGTTTGTGACAGAAGCTGCAGTTAGTGACAGCAGAGACAGGTGGCGCTGTGACTACAGCGCCACGGTCTCAGTGATCACACAGAGCAGACGAAGAACGGACGTTCTTCGTCTGCTCTAGGGGCTCTATGGTGAGCTCCTATCCCATGGTCACGGGTCCCACAGGGGAGCGGGGACCCCGAAAACCATGGCGGAGGGGCGGACCCGATCACCGCCACTCGGTTTTAATACAAGTGATCTGAATAGATCACTTGCATGAAACGAGCAGTGGGTCCCACTGTACATTTAGCTCTGCTTTAGCAGGGCTAAATGTACAAAAAACTACCTGCCCGGCGTCCGAAACTGCATGTCCCGGGCGTTGGGCAATAGGGATTGGCTCCATAAGACGCACACACATTTCCCCCTGCCTTTTGGGGCAAAAACATTTTTCCCATGCCTTTATGGAGCGAAACATACGGTATTTTGTTTTTTCCATTTGTTTCCTTTTCACATGCAATGTTTTTCTTTTGCCATCAATACTTCTGCCTTCTCTCAATCCTTTCCTTTTTGAATGTATTAGCCCAAGGCCAATTTACTGTATCAGCAGGGGACTGTCTGTGTGTAATCTGGCATCCCCACCATCCCATAACGCATAAACATATTACAAGGGTAGACTGTAAATGTAGTAAAAACAGTCTAAATGCCATAAGGCACTGGTTTACATCTTACGTCAATAAACTGCATGAAAGAGAACCATTCAAAAGAATGTGAATGTTCAGTCTTATTTATACGGTCTTAAAATGTAAATATGCTTCCTCGTTTAGCTTCATGCACAAACCTAAAAAGTTATAGGATATCTGTGCTAAAAGGAATAGGTGGACTGCCATTGCTGATGATCTTCTGAAAATATTAGTGGGGGTCTATGGCTTCAGTAATATCTGATACTCTGAGCTAGAACAGGTATGCAATCAATGAAAGTCAGAACAAAGTCAGGGCTCCTATTTGCATACCTTTTTGAGGTCACTCACTCAGAAACCAGAGTATTCTCAATTAACCCTTTGCAGACTGTTCTACAACCTTACACAATAATTCTACTGTACAGTGTGCGTAAAGCAAATATGTCAGTATTAATAATAATTTTTTTAAAAAGCAGCTCTGACTATCTGGCAACGTAACAAGCAAGCTCTGACACTACTAGAAGCTGCAGACCTTTGCCCCTCAGAACAGCCCAGCATTTGTGCATAGTGCTTGCAGGTATGTGCACTTCCCCCTAAGTACCAGTGACAGCAGTTTCTTTTTTATGATGGGGACAGAATTGTTTTAAATGGACATATAGGGATCACTTTTACAGTTGGCTAGCTTGGCCACGTATTGCTATATATTACAATATGAAAGTTTGCTAAAAGTGTGTAGTACCAGTGTGCAGATGGTTAACTAGACTGAGCACAGACATTTTTTGAGTTTAGAGAGTCTGTGAGGCTATTGGATTAGCACCAACAGTCTGATGAGTAGTATTTTTAGAATGGAAGCGGAAGCCGCCATACTTCCTCACTACTGGTTTCATTTATGAAATAATGGGACTGGGACATAGTCGATTAACCAAATTAAGGTGCATAAATTATATCCTTCAAAAGGGTTGCCTGCATATCTGTGACAATTAAATATTGAATATTCAGATTTCTACATATGTCCAATCTTGACTGGTTCTCTTTAAGTAAGCCTGCACAGTTATAAAAATTATGAAAATTCTTGCATTAGTCCAATTGCGACTGGTTCTCTTTAAACAAAGGCAGATGTGTAAATTGCATCTGCTATTGCTTGATTTATGTAGGAGCAGAACTTTATTCGTTTCCAGACCCATTTTATTCCTTTCTGGCTAATAAAAGAAACACGTCTCTGGCCATTCTTTGATATTCGGGCAAAAATTGTATATGCTGTCCTTTATTAGTTGACCAACATTATATTTTTGTAAAAAGGACAAATATCAAAGTACAGGGCTGCCTGAACCTGCACAGTACTGTTTCATAGACTTGAATGGGTTATATTCATACTAGGGATGCAACGAAATAGAATTTTGAGACTGAAACCGAAAATTAAGTTTTTCCCCCCAACCTTTTCTAAATTATTTTTAAATTATTTTCTTTTTTACTTTACTGTTGGGGCTCTAGGGAAATATCAGGGAGTCTAAAAAGTCACCTGATATTTCCCTTTTAAAATAGAATAAGAAATTGAGGACACAGCATCCTCAATCTCTTTTTCTGCAGCCCCAGCACGGAATGAACAGGAATCCTCTATACTGAGTGTTGCCATTCATTCATAACTTGGAGATAGTATGAGTTACTTTGGCCACAAAGTATGAATGAATAGGAAGGGATGTCGATCACTTCCTATTCATTCATAACTGGCACATAGTTACTCATACTATGTCCAGTTATATACAAACATTCTGTGATTAGCTGATTGCTGAATGTTTGAACTCCGCTCTCCATCCTGGAATGGCTGTTACAGAAGGTAGAGCAGAGCGGTGCAGGAGGAGAGTTCTGCCTCCCGTGACATCACAGAGCTCTCCTCTAGTCACCGCTCTCCATCCTGACACAGGGGGCCAAGCCGGGAGGTGAGCCTGGCTTCCTGTAATGATTGCACTGCTCTCCATCCTGATACGAGGAGGACGAGCCAGGGAGGTGAGCTCGGCCTCCTGCAGCGCTGTCACTGCTCTCCTCCCCCACCGCTCAGCATGCTGAAACCTTCTCTCCTCCCCGCATCGGAAGGCACACAGATCGGCACCCAGCGAGGAGGAGAGAAGCTGAGATGCACTTAATTTTTGGCCACAGTTTCGGCATTTTGCCAAAAGTGCCATTTTCGGCCGAAGTGTTTCAGAAGCAATGTCCAATTCAAGTCCACAGGACGTCCAATTCATGGGTTGTGCTCATACTGCTGAAGCAACGTCCAGTTCAAGGCTATGAGATGCCCAGTTCAAGTCAATGAAAAGACACTAGACTTTTACCAGCTGGCATGTAGACAAACGTGGGAAGCCGCCACCGCTGGATAAGGCAAGTAAGCCCCTCCCGAGGGGGGATGTCAGCATAGTTTATTTAGAGGGGCTGGGGCTTAGATATATATGGAAATTGTCCTCTAATGACTATAGCTGGGTTTAACTCTTGAGCAAAGCTCAGATATAGCTTACTGCAAATGTTAGGAAAAATCTGATGTAAACAGCTTCGATAACAGGACACTTACTGCATGGAACACCAAAGACAAGGACTTGGTGAAGGGTAGAGCAGCCATCAGCCAATGGATCTTGAATACATCACTCCTATAGCAGAAAAAAAAAAGAGGTTATTCCTGCTCTTTACAAACACAGACATTCAGGTACACGTCTCTGCAATGCACACAAAGCAGCCTATTGCCTGAAAAGACCTCTCTGTGTAGCCCAAAGCAACCAATCAAATTTATCCTTACACTTTACCTTTTCTACAACTTTCTCACTGACAAGTTTTTTCTGTTTATTCGTACCTGGGCCCAATATAAGAGGATTTCATTTTTTTTTTAATATAAACTTTATTTTCCAATAGCTATTTTAAAAGGAGAACTATGAGGCGAGTGATTTTCACTCAACCTCATAGTTCGAGCCGACGTGTGACAATGAAACTGTCACAAGTCGGCTCAATAGATCGGGAAGTGAGCGGACACATACCGTCGCTCGCTCACTTCTCGATCCTGTCCCTGCAGAGCTGTGACCGTCACTCACGGCTCCCTGCAGGGATTCCCCCTCTCCCCGGTCCGATCCTCCAGCGCTGACTGGAGGAACAAACGGGGGAGGGGCGGGTACAGCTGGCTCTGCCTGTAGATTGGCAGAGCCAGCTGTCAATCACGCAGCTGGGTGGATCTCGACAGTAATGTCTGGATCCGTCCCGGCTGCGGCGGTCTCAGTATACCGCAAGCTATAGCTTGTGATATACTGAGCTTTGGGTTACGGGAGGACGCTAGTATATGTCCTCCGGTGACCCTTAGGAGAACTATGGGGAAAAACACTCAACCCATAGTTCTCCTTTAAGCCCTTTGCATTGGGGGGGAGGGGCGACTTTCCATTTTCATAATTGACAACAGTTAGGTTAGGGTAATTCTAGCAGCCATTTGTTCTGTATATATTAATGCTCCATGCATGTAAAAATCACCCATATAAGCAACAATCATTGTAAAAATGGTGCCGACTAGTAGGATCCAAGTGAAATAATATTCAAAGAGGACAAGACATTTTTTCAAAATAAACCAAATTAATTGCATATGTGAAAGGCTTAAATGTGTTGTAAATGTGAACTTGAGCTTTAAAATATATAGCCATCCTTTTTTGTGGCCCTTCAAAATGCTCATAATAAAAAGGCAAGTGAAGCGCAAATAGATAATCTGTTAAATGAGACTGTGCAGTTATCCGATTTATGTTCAGAAGCACCAAGGATGAGAGTCACTGGGATTATAGAAGACAATTCTCATTTTATCAAAAGCAGGCTATACTACTGCAGGACAAAAGCCCCTGAGAAAAGAGGTTCTATTAAAATGATCATTTTATTAAAGTGTCCCTGCCATCCTCCCTCCTTTGTTCACCCTAAGTATCCCAAAACATTAAACTACAAAATAATGTATTGCTGTAATATCATATAAACTCAATAAATACACTAGGTTTCCCCCAATGTTCTACCCAATTACAAATTCTTCCCTTCTTTTCTTAATCTCGCACAACTGTTAACTGTGGCCACTCGTAATGTATTAGGTTTCGGAATGGGCCATTTATATTTGTGTGCTGCATTACGCACATTACTGAAGTCCATAGTAAAGCACATTAAAAGGAGAACTACGAGGCGAGTGCTCTTCACTCACCTCATAGTTCTAGCCGACCTGTGATAATGAGACTGTCACAGGTCGGCTCAGTAGATCGGGAAGTGAGCGAACACATACCGGCGTTCGCTCACCTCTCGATCCTGTAACAGTAATTACTACCGTTGCAGTGGGGCTGCCACTGCAAGGGTAGATTTTCTTCCCCTGGAGATAGGCTTTAGTGCAACACAAGAGAACATTTTAATTTGTTTTTTTGCATGCGTTAAACACACCGCAGCGGACCGCCTCTGTGCGAATGGGCCCTTATCTTTTTTTTTTTAGAGCTATGCTAGCTAAAAAAATCTTCAGCATCCAACACACTTCCAAGTGTGTTGTATCGGGCGGTATCCATCACTCCCAGAAGAGTTCTGGCGGCTGACGATTTTTCAGCTGTCATACCTCTTGAAGAGAATGGACATCTGGGTCTGCACCCTTGGTAAGTATTATTCATCTTCTTTTGTAAGGACCATTTAAAAAAAAAAAATTGGGGGGGGTTGCTTTAAATGTTTAAGACTCTGAGGACACTTGGTTCAATATTTGTTGGTTCACTGAATAGAACAAGCAAGGAGGATGGAAGTTTATACTTTCTCTTCACTGGCTACAAGCTGGTTTCAGGTTAATGACTCACTAGATAGTGAAGCTGCTGTCAGTAGGACATCAAAGGCAAGCTTGTATTTCTATTAACCTAAAAGTAAAGGTAACACGAAGCAGCCAACTACAAATAAGGTTGTCGCCACATTTAAGGGCCAACAGGGAGGCTAGAGAAGAGAGACAGGAGCTGATTCAAATCAAGCTTGGAAGACTTAGAAGATGACATTCACATATTACTTCAGCTGTCTGTATCTCTAGATCTGCTGACCGTTTTCACTGAAGGTAACCTCTGCTTATTGGGTTTATCTCCCCATATGCTTAGTTTAAATTGCCGAAGTGTGTGACACCTTATAGACCCACAGATAACCATAAGGACCTTCACAGATCATTATTTAATCATATTAACCCACGTTTTTTTAGATGCCCTCTCAAAAATATTTCACATGAGCAGTTTTCCAGTAAGATCATTTATGGCAGACTGACAATACACCTGACACTCTCAAAAGAATGTGAAATTTTTTTAAATGGAACCTGCTGATCGACTTTTGGGTAGTTTTCGGTCTATTTTTTTTTTACATCTGAAATAATCAATCATTCATGTTCCTAGTGATATACAGATCTATCTATATGTACACATCTACAGGTGAAACTCAAATAATTAGAATATCGTGCAAAGTTCATTTATTTCACTAATGCAACTTAATAGGTGAAACTAATATATGAGATAGACTCATTACATGCAAAGCAAGATAGTTCAAGCCGTGATTTGTCATAATTGTGATGATTATGGCTTACAGCTCATGAAAACCCCAAGAACCCCAAATCCACAACCTCAAAAAAGTAGATTATTACATGCAATCAATAAAACAAGGATTGTACATAGAACAATATCGGACCTCTGAAAAGTACAAGCATGCATATGTACTCAGTACTTGGTTTGGGCCCCTTTTGCAGCACTTACTGCAATTACTTTTGCACGATATTCTAATTATTCGAGTTTCACCTGTATATCCATCTATATGTATATATATATCTGTCTATCTACAGCTCTCGTCTGGCAGGAATCTTCTTGTGTATGTGTTCATTAACAAATCATTAAAATGTATTGCTGAAAACAACCAGTATAAGTACCTGAATTTAATTTAGAATCAACCCCCTATACAGCAGAGCTCAGACTGAAATACGTAAAAGCAGCACAAATTGTCAATGAAGTGTTAATGCAGAACCAAGACCTAGATGTATTGCTTAACTGTAGGAGAAAAAAAAAAGAAACAGGTCTCTAGGCTGGCTCTGCTGTGTGGTAGAACTGCGTAAATCTCTGGGCTGGATGCACAGGAGTACAAATCCTTTGGCAGATAAAACAGCAACATACGTTATTTCAGCTGTGTATTTAGCAGTGTGCTGGAGTTCAGCTTTAAGGGACCTACTTATAAGGGCTGAAATTAGATTCACAATTGTTCTTTTGGGGATCATTTTCAACAGTTTACCAATTTAGAAAGTGGAACAATTCCCCTCTCATTTCTGCCACATTTTGACAAGGGTGATTGCACCGGCTGTCAAACTGCCCGCAAGCATTTGCCATGTTACTTCCTAGCTCCAGCCCTTTGTTCTGCTATCATTCTGCATGAATATAAATGAGTAGCTAATTCTACACCTGCGCTTCCGTAGGATGTGAACCCAGACCAGGCCGGCAATGAAGAAGAACAGAGCCATTGAGATGTACAGCTTGGGCAAGGGGATTTCATCTGCAGATAGGTAACTGTCAGGGTTTTTTTCTGTAATAAAGATCTGAAAGAAAAAAAAAAAAATCAGAATCAAACCAATAAGTAAAGAACGCTCTATTTTTTAAAATTCCTTTAGCTACCCTTTGTCTGCCCATATAGTTTAACCACATCTTGACCACCGCACACATATGCGGCAGCAAGAAGGTGGGATTTAATGCCCGGTCTCCACATATATGCATTCACTATACTGTGCTAGAAGCATGCTTACTGCCTGCTGCCAGCACAGTGACCAAGCTGTCATTGGCAGCTCCCGGGCACCGTTTACAATCAGGAGCTGGGCTCACGATCATGTGGTCACTTTGATTAGCTGTCACAGGAAACATATGATTGGAAGTCTGTTCCTGTCTGACGTCGCTAAGTTACTGTTAAAGGGGATTAAAGTGAACCTGTGTAGAATGTGCTCTGATTTGGGGGTGCCTTAAAATTAGTGATGAACAACTGAACCTTAAATAAGTGTAGGGTTTATTTACAAATAGGGATATACATACACTCTAATTACAATTAAGGGAATTGGAAAGGGATTGGGATTGGAGGGGGTCAGGATCATTGAGCTAGCTACACCATTCTCTCACTCATTCACACATGCCATGGGTTTTTCTCTATTTTAGAACACGCCTCTCCAGCAGGTCTCAGCGAATCACATTCTTGATTGCAGAGTTCAGAAAGACTTGTCTTGTCCAAAGGTCTTGCTGGTGAGCTAGGTTAGTGCAGATGATCACACAGGAAGAAGGTTCCATCATATGCCCCTGCCTCCCATCCCAGCATATATGCCTTGCTGGCACAGGTGTGGGCAGTAAATAACAGCAGGGGGGTCGGGCTTGCCCCAGGACATGACCGTCTTGGCAGATCTTCATTCATCAGTGTCCAGCCCCAAGAACCCTTTGATGGCCCTCATTTGCATATCAGCCACCTGCTGATTCCATTCAAGATATCAAGGAACCTTTGCATCAAAGCTGTATTACAGATGTCAATTTTATCAGTTCCAACAACCTGATATACCCTAGAAGGCTTCTAAGGAAAAGTGTCACTACAAGGCACGGTACGGATATACTGATTGGTGGGATAAACCACTAAGCAAAGCGGGGGACAGAAGAGATTGACATTCCCTGATGTTCCGTTCCAGTCCCTGCACAGACTTTGGGGGATAACTTCTCTTGACTGAAGTGGTGTTCACGGGCATGGGCAGCAGGGAAGGTAACAACTTCTTTTTTGCAGTTAAAACTTTGATCCTGAAATGTATTCTTGCAACAGAGTTGCTTAACCCCTTCGTGACTGACGACGTACAGTGTACGTCACCAGCATCGGGGCTGTTTAAACAGACTCAAACTCAATCCCCCCTAACTTTAAACGAAAACCAACTTAACCCCTAAGACTTCCTAAAAAGAGAGATTGCCTTATAATTCTTAGAAAAATACACTTACCTCGAGGCTGAATGGATACTGCTCCCTACTTTCTTTAGGACAACTGTGGAAGTACAAGCTGTAGAGTCCCTCCAAAGAGTTTGAGGTCACATTAAATGCAAACTAGAATGTGAATTGGGAAAAAAAAAAAAAAAGTTGAGTTAAGTGGTGTCAGCCCTGCCCATTTTGTCAAAATACTGAATAATGCCCCTTCTACTTATGTCTATAATACAAATATTTATCTGTAGCCAAAGATAGGAACTGGGAGGGCTAATTAGGCTGTTTAAGATAACACAGGGATTGTGGACAAGACACAGGACCACTCTGAATTTCTGAAATGATCAAAACCTATTTGTTGTACTTCCCATGGTAGATTTAACAGTAATAAATGAAGTTCATTGTAAGACCCCGTTCACATTGAGCGATTTATCGCGCGGTAATTCCCGCGATATCGCGGCAAATTACCGCGCGATATCGCGCTCCAATGCAATCCAATGGGACAAAGGGTCCTGCTGTCGCGGGTCGTGTGTCGCTACAGCAGGACCCTTTTTGGAGCGGATTTAGCCGCAATGCAAGCTTGAACGCGACATCGCGCGGCAAATCTCGCGATGTCGCGCAAATATGCAAATCGTGCGACAAACGCGCGATTTGCATATCGCGCAGTGGGAACGGGGCCTTAGGGTTTACACACACTAGAAGACCCAAGTGTGAACCATTTTTTTTTTACACAGAGAAGAGGCATAACGTCTTCCAGGCCTTTATTGTAGGGGTGCGGAAATTAACGATTAATCCGTCGATTAATCGTTAATTTCTTTGATCGATCAAAATTATTTTGATCGATCAAAGTACTCACCTCTCCGCCGGCTTCCGTCGGAGATCCGGTGACGTCACGGAAATCGACGTCACCGGACTCCTCCCCCCCTCCCCGAGTGGCTCTGTCGGCTAACGAAGGGAAGGGGGGAGGAGTCGGGTGATGTAGTTGTCCGTGATGGGTAACGAAGGGAAGGAGGGAGGAGTCCGTTGACGTCGATGTCCGTGACGTCACCGGACTCCTCCCCCTTCCCTTCGTTACCTCAGCTGCGAGGACCCAGCAGCAGCCACCTGATACAGAGACCCGCCTCGATGTTCCCGGCCGCTGTCCCCCCACGCTGGTATGTTTTTTTACAGCACCCTGCTCAAGCTATAGAACATGGAATAGAATATGGCTGAAACTGACTATATTCTATTCCATGTTCTATAATGTCATTGTACTACTAGGAAACTACAAGTCGGCAGTTCAGCTGTGACTTGTAGTTCCCTGTATGATAGAAGGCTGTTTTAATTACTGTCCTCATGAAAGTACTAGTAATACAAAGGCATTATAGAAACATTAAATAGAATATAGTTGACTTCAAAAGTTACTGTACTATAATGGCATTGTATTTTCATGAGGAAAGTAATTAACCTCTTGCCGTCCGCCCGTAGTAAAAAAACGGACGGACGGCACTGCAGCATCTGCAGGTTGCCGTCTCCAGACGGCCATTTTTTTCTGCAATGCTGAGACCCCCTTCTGTATGTGCGTTATAATTAATCGATTAAAAAAAAATTTGATTAATCGAACAGGAAAATTTTAATCATTACCAGCCCTACTTTATTGTGGTCTGTGACTATGCTGGGGAGATTTCTCCTTACAATTAGATGCTGTGACTGGGACAGAAAGGCAATGACCACAATAAAAAAAAATAATTAAAAGTGTTTTGTTGCCATCCCTGTTCCATTTGGAGAGATTTCCCATCAATACCTCTAACCAGACGAGGACAGGGAACCCATTGCTTACACAAACCCCTATTCATAGTAGGATATATTTGTGTGACCTAGAGGAAAGTGTGTCATGCAATGTATGCCAGGGTGCCTCAATAACTGCTGGATATAGTGAAAGGTCGGCTTTCCTAAAATATAAAGTCTGTGACGTGGCTTTTCACATCTTCCAAACACCAGTTCCCTTTGTGGTCCAAGGCATATAATACTCACTGTGGGGTGAAATGCACGCAGCATTATCTCAAAGTCTAAAAATGGTATCTGCATGAAGCGAGCTCCGGTTCCTCCTCTCTAATCATATAAATCAAGTAGTGGGATGCAACATCAACATATACTAAAATATATTGATCCTTCTATGGAGCAAGTAGGTTATCATTTGACTGCCAAACTTTAAATGCACTTTAAAGTCTGAGATCAATAGAAGGATTATGAAACCAATATACCTGAAAGGATGCAACACCCTTTTCAACTTTAATCTGATGACACTGTAACAGAGAAGAAAGAAAGGTAAATTATGTCTGATGTAAAGCATTTGCCTGAAAGACAGATATAAAATGGCGAGAGTTATAAATGTCTGAAGTGATAACTCTTCAGCTGCATTCACACGGGGCGTTCTGGGATTCCTGCGGCAAGAATCACAGATGTCTCCGTTCAGATGTGGCTGCTGTACATATTGAAGTTCTGCATCTGAACGTACACACCTGGGGTTCCTGCCACAAGAATCCATAGGCTCCTGATGCAGGAATACCAGAACACACACAAATGCCCTGTGTGAATGGGGCCGAAGGCGTTTTCAGGAACGTCAATGGCAGACTCCACAAAGAAATATCAATCACTCTGGTGAACTCAAGTCTCTGCACTTGCTGGCACTTCTCTTAGCGTAGCAGTGTGAAGCGCATTTATCACTGCAACAATGGTCAGTGAGGACTGATGTTTGCATCGCAGTCCAAAGCACACAGGCTCCAAGGTGGCCCTGGACACAACCAGAAACACCAACAGGTGTGTGGCCATATTCATTTTATAAAGCCAACTACATGTCAGAGCAAGCACCTTCAGGTCTGCTTGTCCCCAATTAATTCAAACCCCTGAGAGTCACAAAACCCAGGGTGCTCTATTAGGCTGGGTTCACACCATTTTCCAGACCAGATCTGCAACATAGTGCATTGCATTTTTGCCTCGATTTTACCGCGATTGGAATTTAAAAAATAAATTATTTTTTTTTAACTTAAAATGGTCTTACAGGTGCGTTTCATGCGTTTGATGCATTCCAGTGCATTCCAGACCAGGCAAAATATGACAAGCAGTATTTTTCACGTCTGGTACGGAACGGACTGCGCTGGTGGGAACAAAGCCCAGAAAAAGCATAGGGTTACATTTTGGATCCGGAAACAGTCTGGTCTGGAGGTGGTGTGAATGGGCCCTTAGGCCTTATTTACCCAAATGACAGACTGTGTTCAGAGCTCTGCATCCCTCCCAGTACAAATATAAACACTGAGATGTGTGTAAAGATCTGTCACGCAGCTGGGTGGATCGCGGTATACTGAGCTCTGGGTGACAGGAGGATGCTAGTTTGTGTCCTCCCGTTACCTTTAGGGGAACTATGGGGAAAAGCACTGACCCCATAGTTCTCCTTTAATGGCTCTTTCACACCATAGTGTTGTGCTAAACACATTGGATCCATTTGTTTACTGCACACTATTGCTCAGGGCACTGCACTGCACCCTAGGTGCGCTACGGTGCTATTAATTTAAATGGCACCCCAACACACCTCCTGGTGAAAGCATCGGATCCCATGCATTTATCGCAACTATATGATGTGAAAGAGCCCTTAAGTGTGTCAGCCAAGAAAAAAGAAATACAATTAGAATTCTAACATGATACCTTAAAAAAGTTGTTCCATCAAAACAGCCCATCATTCAGGCAATGTGGGAGTTACTGAAAGATGCTGCAGGTATGTGCACCTCTGGGATCCTGCACTTTATACCTGTCAGCAGCATTCAAGAACTCCTGTATTACCTGAATGCTGGGCTGTTCTGACAGGAAAAGCTTTTGTTCTCATAAAGTGACAGTCTCTCTTAAGAGCAGACCTGGAATTGCGCCTTAACATTTCAGCTCAATTGTCAAAAAAGTGCACAGAGAAAGGCCTAAAACCCCCTTCGAGTAGTAAACATTAGATGGTCAGTGGGCAGTCGGGACCGCTTTGAGTGGTGGTGTAGGCCCCCGGAGGAGAGAGGGGGGGAGGGGGGGTGCGGAGCTTTCTTTCTTTATATTTGTCTCTTTCCTTTTCTTCTCTTATTTTTCCTCTTATGTTTCCTTCTGATACCCGCTGGAAGTCAATACTGACAGGGTACAGGAGAGACCTACAAACTAATACACAGTTCCTCTGTGCGGATCTCGACGAGTTTGTGACGTTTCGCAATCTGAATATTATGTGCAGCTAACAAGTGGGGCGGAATGTACCATGTGCAGGAGATAACGTTTTCTTTCTTTCGTTGTATCGTTGTATTCTGTATATCTTTGTGCAAAAAACAATAAAATAAAAATGTTGAATGGAAAAAAAAAAAAAAAGAAAAGGCCTAAAACCAAGGTGGGCTCTGAATTCACTTGAGTGTGGAGTTGACAATCTAGTTCAATCTCCCAGCAGTCCATAATGTAGTGATGGTACCTCCTTGGCAATGTAGGATGCCAGAGGCTTGCCCAGGTTTTGGGGCTTTCTTGTAGTACAGACGCCGTTTTCTTGAAATCTGGACATGCACAAATGTCTAGACACAGGGCCTAAGGACCAGTGAGTTTTCACCCCCCCCTTTATGCTCCTACCTATTAGCAATATGTACCATACAAATCTTTTGTGTTTAAGGTTCTGTGAAGTAAAACAAAATAAATACAAAAGTTAAAGAAAACCAGTTACCAGCTCACTGGCGTTACTTCTTTCCACTACGCCATTGGATTTTTCTGCAGGATTTTTTGAATTTTCTTTAGCCTTTTGTTTTGGCTTTTCATCTGGTTTTGTTACTGGTTTCGGGTCAGGGTTATCTTTATTATTTTTGTCCTCTGAATTGCCTAGACAAAACAATATACATTGCAAGTCAGATATCAAAAGGATATTGTGTAGTACACCAAGGCAACAACCACTGCCCTAATACTGTGACTACCATATCAATACTTGTCTGTTTCTCTTTAGTTTTCTTCCACGTTTGTTTGATACTGTTGAAAGTCTAACTGTTTTACATTTCAGGGGACGTTCACACCATATGCAGTGCGTTCAGGCCCGATTCCAGCCGGAACGCACTGCATCGCATTGTGGCCGGCTCACTATTTCGTTGGGCTGGAGGGGGCGTGGTGGGCCATAGAGATGAATGGCACAGTAGCCACGCCCTCCGGCCGAAATGCTGTCGCCCGCACGGGATCGCAAGGCCTAAGGTCCAGTGCAGCATTTTGACCGCACCGGACCGCCAAGCCCCCTCCAGCCCCATGAAATAGTGAGCCGGCCGCAATACATTGGTTTATGATATTTTTTTATCTTCCAAAACCTTAATAAAACTTTCTTAAAACCACTGCCCAAATTTAAACCTTTAAAGTTCATCCTCAGCTGATGCTTCTTGCCAATCATGCCAAAATGAATCATTTTATTTTAATGATCAACGTAAAATAAAGGATATTTTAATTTAAATTCCTTTTATGTAGGAAATAAAGTTCTAGTGTAAAAAAAAAAAAAAGCAAGGAAAGAATATCATTACCAAATCAAAAGTAACTTCACAAGTTTTTTTTTACCTATTTTAAGTCTAACTCCAACTATGTGCTTTAAAGACTTTTTGCCAACAAAAAAAAAGACAGATAAATCATTTTTGGTCCTTTTATATTTCCATTTCTGTAGAGTTAGACATTTATAGTTTCCTTTTCAAAGCAGCAGATAGAATCTCCTTGTTGTCTTGGATACTGCATTTACCTGCATCCCTACGCACTTTCTTTGCAGCGCTTTGCTTGTCCTCCGGTTTCTCAGGCGACCTTTGTGCTGTGGTGATTTTCTCTTGCTCGTTGGAAGTGGAGAAGACAACATCTGGCAGTTGGACATCGGCGGCGTTTGTAACACAAATGCTGTGGAAAACGAGAAATATACTAGGATTGAGAGCAGTTTATCGCATAAGAAAATAAAAGGACAATGTTGCTTATAAACAATAAAGAAAGTTAGCGTGAATTACCGTATATAATACCGTCCCGAATATAAGCCGAGGTACCTAATTTTACCCCAAAAAACTGGGAAAAAGTATTGACCCGAATATAAGCCGAGGGTGGGAAATGAGGCAGCTAATGGTAGATAGATACCAATAAAATTACATTAATATTTATTTAAAAGAAAAATAACCTAGCTCTGTAAGTGGAAAAGGGGGTACAGGGCTACATATCATGTACTACGGATCATTTAACCCATTCATATTAGCAGAGGATAATTGTAAATCTATTGTTCAGTGCACTCTATATGTAGTATATAGTACATGTACATATAGAGTGCCTGCAACAATACATTTACAATGATCCTCTGCTAACATGAATGGGTTAAATGATCCATAGTACAGGGCTACATACAGATCATTTAATACATTCATGTTAGTATAATTGTAAATGTATTGTCTGCACTGTATTAGCAGTATATACTCCATATAGAGTATATACTGCTAATACAGTGCAGACAATACATAATTGGTTACTGTAATAAATCCCCCCAAATCTCCCCTCACTTACTGTGATTCACTGTGCCGGAGCAGGGACGAGTCAGCGGCGCGCTGGTCCAGTGGGAGGAGCTCCAGGTGGGGTCCTAATTTAGCTGACTTAGAGGTGCCTGCCCGATAATTACAACCCCACCTGGAGCTCCTCTCGTCTGACCAGCGCGCCGCTGACACATCCCTGCTCCCCTGCTGTACTGGCGCTGCGGGATTTTTTTTTTTTTCTTCTTACTTACCTCGCCGAGCGTCGCGTCACTGCTGCTCCGGTGGGCGGCGCTCCGAGCGGGGTCATCTGGCAGTCTCCGGCCACCTAAATCAGGACCCGGAGACTGCCAGATGACCCCGCTCGGAGCGCCGCCCACCGGAGCAGCAGTGACGCGACGCTCGGCGAGGTAAGTAAGAAGACGCGCTGGCGCTGACTCGAGTATAAGCCGAGGGGGGCACTTTTCAGCCAAAAAAAATGGGCTGAAAATCTCGGCTTATACTCTAGTATATACGATATTCAAATTACTTCCATAAATCCTGCCATCAGACTGCTGGGGAGCCTAACTCTGGACTGAAAATTCATAATACAAAAAAGGTCTTCCCCTCACCACCCACTGTAGAACATTTTAACCACTTGCTGACCGGGGTGTTACACCCCCTTCCTGTCCCGGCCATTTGTCAGTATTTAGCGCTGCGGTACTTTGACATTTATTCCGTCATGCAACGCTGTACTGAAATTAAATTTGATACCATTTTTTAGAGACAGATAGAGATTTCTTTTGGATGGTATTTAATCACCACTGGGGTCTTTATTTTTTACTATATAATGAAGTACCGAAAATTTTGAAAAAGAAAACCGCTTTCCCTACGTTCTGTTATAAAACATTTAGCAGCACCCAATTTGTTGGTAAACCGTAAAAGACAAAATCACATCAAGTAAATAGACACCAAACATGTCAAGCATCAAAATAGCGTGCGCCCGCAAAATCCTAAAAAACTACCATGCCTAAAATTGGCCATAAGCGGCGCTTTATAAGCTTTTACCGCTCATCAATTTAGTGTTAACGGTGATTAATGGCCCTAAAATTATTGCTCGCACTCTAACATTTACGGCGATATGTAACATGTGTGGCATGCTGTTTAGGCCCCATTCACACCTAGGCGTATTGTAATATGCGCGACCGTCGCGCGATTCCAAAGGCTACTTGGCTGTATCCCAATGGAAAACGCCCTACAAAACGGCCCAAAGTAGTCCCGGGACCTTTTCAGGCGTGGGCCGTTTTGTAGGGCGTTAGGGACGGGCGGAAATACGCCTAGGTGGGAACGAGGGCATTGACTACAATGCTATTTATTTTTTTGACCGTTTTGTAGCGCGTTCGTCGAGCGTAGGACGCGCTACAAAACGGTCAGGTGTGAACGGGGCCTAAGTGTCATACAAGCAATTGGCTGTAGAGCTGGCCGAACGCTTTTATGCAACTGCCAGTCCAGGGTGTTTATATTACGAGCAGGATTCTGCTTGCACGTGTGAGCACAAACAAAAACCCCACATACATGAACGTCCACCCACTGGGAAGAGTCCGCCGTCCGTTGGTGTATTTACAATGGGCGGACACGACAAGTGGTTAATGCTTGTTTTGTCCATGGGATGGATAACCGAGCAATACTTAGGCTATTCATGTAAGTGTAGATTTTTCTCGTTTAGCACCAGGAGCTGAACAAGAGAAGTCAATAGATTTCTCCTTCCATGTTAAACAGTGTGGATGGGGGAATCTGCACCGCTAGTTATTGTATTGAGACAGCTACCGACACCTGCTATAATCTGAATATCTGAACACTGATAGGATGCATTCACTGTTTGCATTCGCAATATTCCACCTGCGTCCCCCGTAGCACCCAGGGGTTCCTTTCACCCATCCCTATGTCACTACAGGTCACAGTGGTAACTTTGACGGGAGGAACCAATGACCACAGTGGAGGACACAACAGACTAGAGGTGCACCGAAATGGAAATTTTAAAACCGAAACGAAACCGAAATTTAAAAAAAAAAAAATGTCAGGCCGAAACCGAAAATGTTTTTTTATTTTTTCAATTTTTAAAAAATATTTTATTTTTTATAAAATGTTTAATTTTTTTATATTTATTTATTAATTCATTTTTTATTAAATATTTTTATTTTTTACTTTACTTTTAGGGGCTTCAGGGAAATATTGGGGGGTCTAAACAGACTCCTGATATTTCCCTTTTAAAATAGAAAAAGAGATTAAGAACACAGAGTCCTCAATCTCTTTTTCTGTGTCCCCTGTTATCAATGAACAGGAATCCTCTATGAGTGTTCCTGTTCATTGATAACTTGAGAATATTGTTTATTGTTTGTTTACTATAACTACAATTATGAATGAATGGGGGTGATGTAGATCACTCCCATTCATTCATAATTGAGGATATAGTTAACATACCATATTCTCAATTATGTACACACACTCAGTGATCACTGATCACTGAGTGTGTGTACCTTGCTTTTCTCTCTGACACGCTGTCACAGGAGGCTGTCCAGTGATCGGAGGAGAGATCAGCGGCTGGAAGCCTGCCGATCTCCCTCCAATCCAACAGTGGAGACCCACCTTGCCGGTCCAGGGTTCGCGCGGGGGACAGCAGAGCCTGGGAAACTGACGGTGGCACCGGCGGAAGGGGGGACACAATCACATGTTAAGAAGGGAAAAATGTCGGGAACTCTTGATTCCAAGCCAAGGTCAGGTAAACCAAGAAAGATTGCAGCCCCACCTGCCAGAACAATTGTTCGGGATACAAAGAAAAAAAAAAACCCACAGGTAACCTCAGGAGAAATACAGGCTGCTCTGGAAAAAGACGGTGTGGTTGTTTCAAGGAGCACAATACAACGATACTTAAACAAAAATGAGCAACAAGGTCGAGTTGCCAGAAAGAAGCCTTTACTGCGCCAATGCCACAAAAAAGCCCGGTTACAATATGCCCGAAAACCCCTTGACATGCCTCACAGCTTCTGGCACACCGTAATTTGGAATGAAGAGACCAAAAATCGAGCTTTATAGTCACAACCATAAGCGCTATGTTTGAAGAGGGGTCAACAAGGCCTATAGGGACAAGAATACCATCGCCACTGTGAAGCATGGTGGTGGCTCACTGATGGTTTTTTTTGGGGGGGGGGGTGAGCTCTAAAAGGCATGGGGAATCTTGTGAAAATTGATGGCAAAGATTAATGCAGCATGTTATCAGAAAATACAGGCAGAAAGCTGCTCATGGTACGCTCTTGGACTTTCCAGCATGACAATGACCCTAAGCACAGGGCCCAGTTGACCCTCCAGTGGTTGCAGCAGAAAAAGGTGAAGATTCTGGAGTGACCATCACAGTCTCCTGACCTTAATATTACCGAGCCACTCTGGGGAGATCTCGACTCAAAGACTTTGCATGATCTAGAGGCATTTTGACAAGACGAATGGGCAGCTATACCACCTGCAAGAATTCTGGGCGTCATAGACAACTATTACAAAAGACAACTATTACAAAAGACTGCACGCTGTCATTGATGCAAAAGGGGGCAATATACAGTAATAAGACCTAAGGGTAAGCAGACTTTTGAACAGGGGACATTTCATTTATTTGTTGCCATGTTTTGTTTTATGATTTTGCCATTCTGTTATGAGCTACAGGTGAATATAAATCCCATACGAAATAAAAGAAATGTGTTTTGCCTGCTCACTCATGTTTTCATTTATTACCAATTCTCCAAGGGTATGCAAACTTTTGAGCACAACTGTACTATCCTGTCATAACATCAGCATTGTAATAGGAATACATACTAGAGTTGTTTCTGATAATGCAAATCAAAGCTATCTTAAAAAATCCCTTTTATGTAGTGAATGCTGCCTTATGTCTGCCCATCACTTTCATCATCTTTCAGGACTCCCAGTGTGCTTTGCATCACGTTCCCTGCTGCTTGATGTGATGCAATCTTGATTACTCAAGACAACATATCCCACCATGCATTGCTTCCAGCAAGCAATGATGATGTTACATTACAGGAAGTCCAAACATTGAGATGTAGTTCAGACAGCAGGTAGGTAGGGTAGAGTAGGGTTGAGTTGTGACATAAGTACATATTCACAGGAGTGAAATTGTGACACTGCATGAGGAAGTACATTCTATGGACATCTTCAATAAATAAAGTTTAAACAATTTTCTAGATCTGTATGGTTATTAGGAATGAGATGGAACATATGGAAATTAAACATAGAAACAGATTTTTATAGTTTTTGACAACATACACCCTTAAATTTGAATAAAATAAAAAAAGAGCAAGCACTCACGTTTTGGCTGAGAAATTCAGCTTGAGTAGAGCGACCCCTGCTGGACGACTTTGTAGTATACAGTTATGCAAATCTTGGTCCTCCAACACATTAAAAAGAAAAAAAAAGGATAAAGTGAAATATGCAACGCAAATGTAATCCTAAAACAGAATAAAGGTGGGCAAAAATGTCTGTGCGTCTTATGCAGCGAATATTCCCCCCCCCCAGGTCTCGACAATCTCCTGCGCCAGCCGCCTCAGCTGTCACACACACATCGCACGCGCACAGCAGCTCCCGCGGGGTGATTGTGTGTGCGAGTGTGAAAGCTGAGGCGGCGGGGCTGACGCCGTTTTTTACCTCTTCCATAATGCCAATGCCCGTGCTGCCGCTGTCTAAGTTCTGTGTCTGACCGGCTTCTCAACTTCCTGTGTCATGCCACATGACAGGCAAAGGGAGGAGTCTCAGTATGCAGAAGTTAGGCACAGGCAACACGGGCAGCGCATTGTGGAGGCGGTAAATAAAGTGGTTTGACTGCCTCTAAACAATACATGCGTCTTATGGTCAGGTGCGTCTGATGGAGCGAAAAGTACGGTATATTTGTTATAGGATTCTTATAGTTTAAGGATCAGTATGTTCAGACCTCTATAGTGAACCCCTCTACAGTTTAACACTATACGTTTCAATGGTAGAGGCAAACTGTGTACTTACTGAACACTTACCAAGTCGGTGGTAAGGGGGATCTGACTGACTATATGGTCACATGATCACGGTCCTGTAGAATAAACAGCGCACTCCTGAGAGGTAAAGCACTCCTAGAATGCCTGCAACTAGACCTCAATTGTTGCTCAGACATCTGAATGCAGTGAGGCAATTACAGGAGCATGGGGTTGAGGTTGAATCTAGGAAACCCCGACTACATTACTGATTATGGTTTCCATGGTTGCAGGGAAGCAACATTTTAATATTTCAGTAGCTAGAGAAAATCAAGGCTGGGTGCACACTGAAATTAATAAGTTCACATTTTTTTAAAAAGAACCCGCTAGTGCAAAATGGCTTGTAATGCAAATACATCACCCTGAAAACTCAGTTTAAGGGCCAAATCATTCAACATGTGTTGGGGCTGCGCTGGCTGTTGTTTCAAGTAGGGATGCACCAATACCGATACAGAGTCTTTGGGCGAGTACTCGCCAAAATGCTCCGATACTTACCCCAGATAACGAAACTTCTGGTCAGAGGGAGATTTCCATTGACCAGCTGTGTCGTGAGGGAACATTGAGCCGGCTTCCTGGCCAATCAGGAAGCCAGGCGGTGGGTAATAACTCACCACCCGGCTTCCTGATTGGCCGGGAAGCCCGCTCCATGCTGTTTGACTGACAATCAGCATGGAACCAGCCAAACAGCATTGAGCCGGCTTCCCAGGCAATCAAGAAGGCGGGCGGCGTATCATTATTGGTCGGGAAGTAAGCTCCATGCCAATGGAAGTACTGGTATCGGTGAGTACCGAAAGATAAATATCGGTACTTGATACTGAAAAACTGGTAGCTGTGCATCCCTAGTTTGAAGTGCTGCCCCAATGCAAGACAAAGCAACTTGCCTTGTCACAGATCGGATTGGTTCACAGCACTGCATTGTAATGTGAACGTTAGTGGTGGTGTGCACTGAAAAAAAGTACAGCATGCCATACACAGTACAGCCGCCTCGCACCCCGATGTGCCCGTAGAACTGAACGAAATGTCACTTGTGACATTTCAATAAAGTTTTACCAAAAAACTAAACAAAAACACAATGGGAATTTATCAAAACTGGAGCACACAAAATCTGGAGCAACTGTACATGGCAACCAACCCGCTACTCTCTTCAGTCTGGTCAGGTAAGATTTAAACATGAAAGAAAGATTTAAAAATGAAAGAAAGAGGCTGATTGGTTGTCATGCACAGCTGCTCCAGATTTTGTCTGCTCCAGTTTTGATAAATTCCCTTCAGAGTGCTGAGATCAGTGCATGGGCACTGTGTCGGGCAATACAAACAAGCTGCTGTGCGTTTAGCACAGTGGCAGGTGTGAATTGGCCATAAATGTGAATATAAACAACCGCAATGTACAACTTCAGAAATAGACTGCCAATAAATGATCGCTTCAATCAATTATCGCAATCATGAAAATGGGGAAAAAGACAATCAAATTAGAAGAAATCTGTATTTACTTTTTGGGTTAACTAGTCATTTTTTAAAAATAAATAATCATTTGAGACAATCCACTCTATGATAAATCATTAAGAGTATATAAACCCTACAATACTCTTCACTTATTTGCACCCTTATAGTCCCTTAAAAATATGTTATTGTAAAGTATTTTGATATATCGGTTTTAGAGGTGCAAAAAACATCTGGTATATTGGCAAGAATTCAGAGCTGCCCTGTGTCCTCTGCACACTTCCTGTGTTATCCTAAAGAGTCTGTTTAGCCCTCCTAGTTGTAGAGATCTGAGAGTGGGAGCGCTTTAGGTAGTTTAGCAGAAGACACTGGACAGGGCTGACACCATTTAAACCATAAAGCTGTGAGTTGTCAGCCCGGAACAGAGCTTATAAAAGGGAGTGCATTTCTGGTATATCGACAGGTATTTTTTGTTCCTGCAGGGTCTTTAAAGGGATAAAACATGAGGAAATGTACATGTATTGCAGAGATGTACTTCATTTTTTTTTCCAAATCTTATCTTTACATATGTTATAATTTAGCATTATGTACATTACATTTGTGTCAATTTGTTATGCTGCAGAAAGTCAATTTAAAGTTTTACAAACTTAAAGCTGAATTTCAGAATGGAAGAGAATGATTTTTCCCAAGCTCCGTGCATAGAATGTCTCAGTGTATTTAAAAGGAGAACTATGGGGTCAGGGCTTTTCCCAATAGTTCTCCTAAAGGTAACGGGAGGACACAAACTAGCGTCCTCCCGTCACCCAAAGCTCAGTATACCGCGAGCTGTATATGGAGACGCCGCAGCCGGGACTGATCCCGACATTACTGTCGAGATCCACCCAGCTGCGTGAGTGACAGCTGGCTCTGCCTATCTAGAGGCAGAGCCAGCTGTGCCCGCCCCCCTCCCCTGTCCGTTCTGACAGTCAGCACTGGAGGATCGGACAGGGGAGGGAGGAATCCATGCAGGGAGCCGTGACTGACAGTAACGGCTCTCTGCAGAGACAGGATCGAGAAGTGAGCGAGCGACGGTATGTGTTCGCTCACTTCCCAATCTATTGAGCCGACGTGTGACAGTTTCATTGTCACAGGTCGGCTAAAACTATGAGGCTGAGTGATTTTCACTCGCCTCATAGTTCTCCTTTAATGCTGAACTCCAGACCGTTATAAAAGACACAATGAATGCAGCTCTGTATTTATTGATACATGATTCAATGTCATTATTTACAAGCAGTGTAATTAATTGAACCTGGCCTGGTTTCAGCCCCCTACCATCTATGCACAGTTGTATAGTTTGCAATTACCTACAGTACATGGGGCAGCCCTTTTGCCCCTCTTATCTCACTGCTGAGGGAAAACAATAGACGCCAAGTACTAATAAGTGGCTGCTGAATTCAATAGCTGGCCGGGGAGATTCCTCCATCCACACAGTTTAGGGGGAATTGAGGCATTTCTCTTGTTCAGCACGTGGGACTGAGTAGCAGAAATCCGTAGTGTGTGTGGCCAAATTAAAGAGAAACGTCAACATTTACCTTTAAAATGGCAACAAAGGCATCTTTAGAAATGTTTAGTAATGACAATCTACAAACAGATACTTCTAGATAATTGCAGCCTTTTTATTCTTTACATTCCTTATTTTTCTTTTCCTCCCCATTCTTCTCACAGTGGCCACCTCCCTTTACTTCCTGGAACTCTGGCACATGTGACAGTACATATCATCTCAGGGGAAAAAGTGCCCTTCCCAGAGATCCTGTAGTTTACAGAGGAGAATTTACATGAAGGCAATGGTGATGTAGCCTTCCCAGGATGCATCTCTTAGGCCAAGAATACATCACCAGTGCTTAACAGGACCAGGAAGTGGAAAAACGGTGATTGGAGGTAAAAGCAACATATGTTTGTTTACCAAATGAATGTAATATGATTTCACATCAGCGTGCAAAGCTTTATACTGATGTGATTGTTAGTGAAAAGGGGTAAAGGTCCACTACGAGCCAACCAAAGAGCAATTTTTTTTGTTTACAGCAAGAAAGAAGCCTTTATTTTAACTCCAATATACAGATGTTCCTCGCTTACCGACTTACCTGTTTTGCGACCACTCGCACTTACGACGGACCGCCGATCTACCTCCGATCTTGCGCGTCAACGTCAGTGCGCCGTGTCGCCGGCGGAAATGGTGTCCTCCGATCTTCATTGCGGGTCCCGGTAAGTGTTTTCATTGCCCGATGTACAGTACACTGTTCGGTATTGTACATCGGCAACGCTATACAGTACTGTACTAATGCAGTACAGTACTGTATAGAGTTCCTCACTTAACGACCAATCCGTTTAACGACCTGGTCATAGGAACGGAACTCGGTCGTTAAGTGAGGAATGCCTGTAATGTGACTTGGTAACACTGACTCGTGCCCTGTTGATGTGAAGTCTGTATTTGATCGGATCAAGTCTACAGAAACAAAAATCACACAAACTTACCAGGTAAGTTGAGAAGCCATCATTCTTAGTCCTGTCCAAGCTAAACCCAAACTGAAAGAAAAAAAAAATAAAATGCACACTTTATAAAATACTGTATCTACATAAAAGGTATACAGTAAAGTTCAAATAAAAGATTTTCATACAAGATGAACAGATATTACTACCTATATAGTGATTAAAGGGGAAGTATTGGGAAAGTAAAATACGTATGCTCATCCCAAAATTTTTTAGCCTGTGTGACACTGCAGCTGTAAACCCTAGGGCTCTATAGCTCGAGAACTGAGCGATCATGAACCACTGATCGCTCTGTCTTCTCCCTGCAGAGAGTAGTGGCTGTCAGTCACCGCTCCCTGCAGGGATTCCCCCCTCCCCTCTCAGTTCCTCCAGCGCTCATTGGGAGGGACAGACAGGGGAGGGGCGGGCACCGCATGCTCTGGCTCTAGAAAAGCAGAGCCAGCTGTCAATCAGCAGCGGGGTGGTTCCCAACAATATTGTTGGGATCTTTCCCAATTGCAGCTGGCTCTAGCTGACTTTGGGTCACAGGAGGGGATCAATAAATGTCTTCCCATGACCCAAAAAGCGAACAAAAGACAAAAAAAGTTTGGCTATAGTTCTCTTTTAAATGCCCTTGGTTGAAGAATAAATGGAACCAAAAGCAAAGAATTATACAAAATCCATTAGTTCTTTATTAAAATCCAAGCAAACCCAATAAGTTTGCAATTATGATCTTTAACTTTTTTCCTGATGCTTGGTGTCCTATGATAGCTGTACTCCAATAATCAAGGGTCCCGCAAAGAAAACATCCCTGACATCCCTGCATATGTGAATGCTCTATGGCTGGCTCATGATTTGCCAGCACAGAAGAGCAATATTTGAAAGGGCTGCCAGGCATGCCTTTTTGTGTAACCTTCAAAAAACACTGAATTATGATTTTAGGGCTGCTGCCAGGTGATCAAGGAGAAATTTAGGACAAAACAGCAAACCAATGAAAACATTTACATTCACTGATATTTTGAACTGCAACACATTGCAACTGTGATTAGTGGAACGCTGGTGCAATGCTCAGGCTCTTGCAGACTCTTGCTCCAGCCCTTGTCCAAACCGATGGTACGGACTTTTAGTAACAGAGGCCAGAGGAAGTATCAATGGATTAGAAGTGTGGTGACGTTATCGCATTTGTACTTTACTGAGAACTACGAGTCCCTCTGCTGCAGTAAAAGACAGCAAGGCACACCACTTACCAGTAAGTTGCCCACGCTGGTCAGGTCCTCGGTACCCACAGATAAGCTGGCGATGCTCACATTCATGGATCCATTAGTGAAAAAGCCAAATGTGTTGAGATGCACCTTCTGCCGCAGATCATCCTTTAAGGAAGGAAAGGAACACTATGAATACATATGCATATACATAAGTGCATCTAAACCCCACAATAAAATTGTACTGTACTGCAGCTTGCCAATCCTTAAATGTGGTAGATTAATCTTTTTTTCTTGGTTTAGGAACTTTTTTGCCTTATTTCTACCTGGTGATCCTTCCTGTAACATACTTATTGTCGTAGGAAGGCAACACTCACTCACCATACTGTATCAATGGCGGAGCAATGTTGTCACCCTTGGATGTGAAATGAGTTAGACCGATACTAGTATCATGTACTGATACAGGGCATTTTCAGGAGTACTCGTACTCCTGAAAATGCCCCGATACTAAAGGCCGATACCGGCCCTTTAAATATTTTAAATCACGTCGGTTGCTGAGGTCCCGGGCTTGCGGGGGCCTGAGGCAGCCTTCCGGGGACCTGGCAGTAGCTGTCTTTGACACTGCCTGCCAGGTCCCACATCTCCACCTCGGCCTTCCCGGCTAAGGCAGAGCTCGAGGCAGCCCCACACTGCAAATACAGCCTCCGAGTGGGCACACGCTCTGTACGGCTCACTACGATCCAGCCAAGCACCTGTCCACAGAGCCGTGGAGAGACCCATCGGCAGCCCTGCTGACGTGTATGCAGCGCTGGAGAGATCCAATAGGCAGCCCTGGTGACATCTGTATGCACCCCTGGAGAGACTCATTGGCAGCCCTGGGGACACATCAAGACGCAGCCTGGTGACGCATCGGGACGCGGCTCTGGCGAGATCTGTATTCAGCTTTGGTGAGAAACTGCCCTAAAATCATTAGTCTGTATTGTTATATAAAATATGTCACATGCCCCTTTAAGAAAAAGTATCGTTCATTGGTATTGGCAAGTACCCGAGGGAAAGTACTTGCACTTGGTCTTGCAAAAGTGGTATAGGGACATCCCTATTTCCTCCTATACTAAACCCCAAGACAGTTTACAGAGGTGAACTGACCAGGGATGATAACACTACAGAAACATAGGATAGCACTGGATTTCCGACAGCATCAACAGGTATTTTTTGCACTGATACAATAGTTATAACAAAATGCTTTCAAGGACATAGACCAATAAATTCCCTAGGCCAAAAGGAGCAAATAGAAGTTAATTGTTCGTGTTTGCATATACTTTAAAGAAGAACCTCATGCCTACCCTCAGGGTTACTTTTGCTTCTAGCCCCCTTCCATTTTTTGGTGTGTTATGCTCAAATAAAAAACCCAAAGCCCGCCATCATCGGTCTTGTGGCCCCAATATCCTTTTATTAATGTCTTCAGGAGCTGGCTGTGTCTTCCAGGTTCTAACAGCTGGCCCCATGATGACAGGTCACTGGGCCCGCCCTCATCCAGCCGCAGTATGGATGATGATGCCTTCTGGGATATCGGACGTAGATAGCCCAGGAGGCTGCTGGAGCAAAGAACACGTCATTCCTGCCTAGGCAAGAATGGAGGCATGGGATAGGGTGGATAGAAAAAAAGAACAGACTTTACATGTTTGCAGAGGGGGAAGGGATGCAATGCAACAAAGCAGTTGCTTGTGAACATCCGCTTTAAGTTTACACATTTGAACAGCTGAAGATTTCAATATTTGCTTTAAGTGATAAAGATTTTCATTCCACTATGATAACAAATGAGTCATCAACTTGAGAAAGATGAAACCACAACATGAAAGTAAAAATTCACTTCCGTTAAAGTGGCCATAAAGCCTTTGTAGGACCCTCTATCTACCTGCTGATCTGTAATCCTCTATAGCAGTGGTTCTCAACCTGTGTAACATCAGGATCCACATTTGTCCTCGGTCATTAAGTCGGGACCCATGTTGCACTGCAATGGAACGCACGGCATTGTGGTACTGCGAGTTCCGAAGCAGGCAATAGAACTGTGGGTGGGAGGTGTGTTTGGGTTGCAATTCAAATGAATGGCAATGCAATTCTCACACCAGAACTCGTGGTAGGTGCGATTGTGTGGTACAGTGCGTTAATCGCACGAGACTGAGATTAACGCACTGTACTAGTGTGGATGGGCCCTCAAAAACACACAACCACAGACACATTCTCACACATACACACTCCAAAAAAGATCCACCAGTCTCCCTATCTTACGAGAACTGGAGTAGATCCTCAGCCTGGGGTCCAGTGTGGGCTGCTGTACTGTGATGGAGCTCCATCTATATGTGCATTGTTTGTACAGCTCCCTTGCATAACCTGTAGAGGTGCCAAGAGCCAGAATGTGACATCACTCCGGTCCATGCACCTCTACAGGACACGTGAGGGAGCTGTAAGCAATGAACTAACGGATGAAGCACACCCTACCTCAAGCTGACACTCAGCACCGGGCAGCATATTTTGAATGGCTGCTTGGCGCGAGAACTGACAGTGCTGCGCTAGGGGGAGACGGAGGACCCTCTCACCTGGAAAAGTGGAAGGCACACGGGGACCCACTGAACACGTGGGATTGGGCTGCCTCCTGGTGAACCTGCACCCAATTTTATCTTTTGCTACATGTGCTCCATGATGGAGACTCCCATAGGTTAAAGTTAGGACCACACTACACAGAGGAGCCTTGACACGGCTGTGCGGCTTTCACATATTCTGCAGAAGACGTGTATCTAAAACCTCTGTTTTTAACATTAGCCGTTAGACAGTTGTTTTTTTTTGCATGCTGGCTGGTGAGTGTGCTGGGAAACTTTTTGCTGTTTTACTGTATAAAGCCCTTCCATGTGCACCTTGCTTAAAAGCTGGTTATGAATTGATGAGTGTGTTTGCCATTTGTTTTGCTCCACTGAAAACGGCGGCGCGACCCACTTTTGGGTCACGACCCACCAATTGAGAATCAAGGCTCAATAGCAGTGGTTCTCAACCTGTGTACCCTCAGTACCCACATTCGTCCTTGGTCATTGGCTGCACTAGGGGGAGACTGAGAAGCCTCTCACCTAGAAAAGTGGAAGGCATACGGCGACCCACTGAACATGAGGTCGCAACCCACTTTTGGGTTGGGATCCTCAGAGGGTCCTACCCCCACTGCTGACCTCTTCTGACAATGTTAGCTGCCTTTCTATCATACTAGGAGCTGTGCCCATAGAAGACTGAAGGCAAGGCTAATTCATACCAGTCACTGCGATTCTGGCCTGAACGCACTGGATCGCATTGCGGCCGGCTCATTTTGGTGTGGGGCGGGAGGGGGCTTGGCGGTGCATTGAAGTAAATGGCACTGCAGCCATGCCCTCCAGCCGCACGGGAACGCATGGCACATCAATGCCAGTGTTCTGGTCTGGTCAGGGGATATATTGCAGCCCCACAACAAAGAAAAGAAATCTGGAAAACGTACATTTTCAAAATAAAAAAACAAATAAGCAGCAGTGTTAAACATTAAACATAAAAAATGACATTTATTATACTAGAAGTTACTGTTTTCATAACAAACACTGCACAGCTACAGGCGGTTTTAGTCTAAATAAGTGACTGTGGATCAGAAAAGAATTCCAATCTTTACTTGTTTTTACATTGTTTTGGGTTGGTTTTTTTCACCTTCATGCTTATGATCTCCTTCAGCAACTTCCTGTCTACATGTTCTATGGCCCAGTAGAGGCTGCATGTCATTGCTTCCTGAAGGTGACAACGGTGGAACGTGTCTGTGCAATGAGCTTCGGCTTGGCCACTGGGTATAGCGGACATATATTTTTAACGATCCTCCATCCAAACTAACAGCATGGATGAATGAATCCCCCGCTGTGTACAATGTATTCTGACAGTGACACTGGCTGCTGTCAGGGTACTCGAACAGTGCTTGCAGCTGATTGGCTGACATTCAGCCAACAATTTACCAGCATGACCCTTCGACAAAAGTAAATTTGTGCTGAGGAGATAGGGCCGAATTTCCTGCTGAATTGGGCAAAATTCCATCGAATGCGTACCTGGCTTAAGTCCCTGTACTCACCAGGACGTATCATGGACGCGCGCCAAACATACACAAAAGTGCTTGCTTGGACACAAGTTCACAGTACGCACACAAACACGCTTGTGTTGCCATTACTAGGTTATGGCACCCCAAACACGTTTGCCATATATTGTTTATGGCCCCCCAAAGGCAGCAAGCAAGACCCGCGTATTTCCCATGCAAAGAGGTATGACGACCGCACAAAAAATGCCTTCTTTGCCGCGTTTGCCCCATTTAAATGAATAGGCTGCCCTATGTGCGACACACAACAAACATATGCCATGTGTGGGTTACACAAATGTGAAGATGGGGCTTAAAGTAACCTCATAGACCTTTACCGGGTTCTCAGTACATGGGCATGACAGGTAATCAGTCACAAACATGGGCAGCGCTAACGCAGCATATGATGATACAATGCAGAATAGAGGTTACGGTCAGTGACAGCTACATATCAAAACAATTGGGAGATGCCATGATACATGCAGGTGCAGTTATATGCAAATCTCAGTTGTCTTGTTAAAGTCAAGATTGGCTCCACCAACTTCTGCCCTTAGTCTTCCTGCTGGTCACTAAGGCTGTGTATTGAGGAGGTGGAAAATGTTACATTGTTCGGTCATGTGGTCGGTGTAGCACAGTCTGTGCAAGGAAAACATTCCAGCCGAGTCCTATTCCAGCTCCGCACACACACCATGGCCTTGTTCATTCCTATGGATGAGCCACACCCATGGCAGCCTCCACCCTACCAGAAGAGAATGGCTCGCCCAAAGGAATCCACAGGGCCATGGTACACATGTGTGCAGGAGAAAAAGGTACTGGCTAGGGCGGTTTTCTTGCAAAGGCAGTGTGGCGTCGGGCAGGACCACACAGTGAGGATCTAGTGAAAGGGGAGGAAAGTCAGCAGTTTTCGGGGTGGGGAGGAAGGTCAGCAGGAGTGTGGAGTGATCCCCTCTCTACCTATTAGTCTCCTCCCTCCAGTGCTCCCCTCTGTCACTATCAGTGCTCCCTCTCCAGTCGTCCCCTCTGTCACCGACAGTGTCCCGCCCCCACTCTCTAGCGCTTCCATGTCACCATCAGTGCTCCCTCTCCAGTTGTCCCCTGTCACCAACAGTGTCCCACCCCCTTCGTCACCGACAGTGCCGCCACCGCTGCCCCCCAGTGCTTCCCTCTGACTTCATCAGTGTCCCCCTCTGGCACCAGTGTCGCCCTCCTCCGGCGTTTCCCTCTGGCACCGACAGTGCCCCCCTCCTCCGGCGTTTCCCTCTGGCACCGACAGTGCCCACCCTCCAGTTGTCCCCTCTGTCACCGACAGTGTCCCCCCTCCCCCCTCTCTAGCGCTTCCCTCTGAGACCATCAGTGTCCCCCCTCTCCAGTGTTTCCCTCTGTCACGATCAGTGTCCCCCCCTCCAGTGTTTCCCTCTGTCACGATCAGTGTCCCCCCCTCCAGTGTTTCCCTCTGTCACGATCAGTGTCCCCCCCTCCAGTGTTTCCCTCTGTCACGATCAGTGTCCCCCCCTCCAGTGTTTCCCTCTGTCACGATCAGTGTCCCCCCCTCCAGTGTTTCCCTCTGTCACGATCAGTGTCCCCCCCTCCAGTGTTTCCCTCTGTCACGATCAGTGTCCCCCCCTCCAGTGTTTCCCTCTGTCACGATCAGTGTCCCCCCCTCCAGTGTTTCCCTCTGTCACGATCAGTGTCCCCCCCTCCAGTGTTTCCCTCTGTCACGATCAGTGTCCCCCCCTCCAGTGTTTCCCTCTGTCACGATCAGTGTCCCCCCCTCCAGTGTTTCCCTCTGTCACGATCAGTGTCCCCCCCTCCAGTGTTTCCCTCTGTCACGATCAGTGTCCCCCCCTCCAGTGTTTCCCTCTGTCACGATCAGTGTCCCCCCCTCCAGTGTTTCCCTCTGTCACGATCAGTGTCCCCCCCTCCAGTGTTTCCCTCTGTCACGATCAGTGTCCCCCCCTCCAGTGTTTCCCTCTGTCACGATCAGTGTCCCCCCCTCCAGTGTTTCCCTCTGTCACGATCAGTGTCCCCCCCTCCAGTGTTTCCCTCTGTCACGATCAGTGTCCCCCCCTCCAGTGTTTCCCTCTGTCACGATCAGTGTCCCCCCCTCCAGTGTTTCCCTCTGTCACGATCAGTGTCCCCCCCTCCAGTGTTTCCCTCTGTCACGATCAGTGTCCCCCCCTCCAGTGTTTCCCTCTGTCACGATCAGTGTCCCCCCCTCCAGTGTTTCCCTCTGTCACGATCAGTGTCCCCCCCTCCAGTGTTTCCCTCTGTCACGATCAGTGTCCCCCCCTCCAGTGTTTCCCTCTGTCACGATCAGTGTCCCCCCCTCCAGTGTTTCCCTCTGTCACGATCAGTGTCCCCCCCTCCAGTGTTTCCCTCTGTCACGATCAGTGTCCCCCCCTCCAGTGTTTCCCTCTGTCACGATCAGTGTCCCCCCCTCCAGTGTTTCCCTCTGTCACGATCAGTGTCCCCCCCTCCAGTGTTTCCCTCTGTCACGATCAGTGTCCCCCCCTCCAGTGTTTCCCTCTGTCACGATCAGTGTCCCCCCCTCCAGTGTTTCCCTCTGTCACGATCAGTGTCCCCCCCTCCAGTGTTTCCCTCTGTCACGATCAGTGTCCCCCCCTCCAGTGTTTCCCTCTGTCACGATCAGTGTCCCCCCCTCCAGTGTTTCCCTCTGTCACGATCAGTGTCCCCCCCTCCAGTGTTTCCCTCTGTCACGATCAGTGTCCCCCCCTCCAGTGTTTCCCTCTGTCACGATCAGTGTCCCCCCCTCCAGTGTTTCCCTCTGTCACGATCAGTGTCCCCCCCTCCAGTGTTTCCCTCTGTCACGATCAGTGTCCCCCCCTCCAGTGTTTCCCTCTGTGACCATCAGTGCGCCCCCTCTCTCATCTGTCAGAGTCCCCTTCTCTACTATCAGAGTCTCTCTCTCCGCGATCAGTGGACTCTTTTCCAATGTCAGTATCCCGGTTTTACTTGTCAGTGTCCCTATTTCCTGTGTCAGCGCCCGCCTCATATGTCACGGTTCCTCTCCAGTAAGTTCCCCGGGCCTCCATTTATCCCGGAAGTCTGGCTACTCCTCCTCCTGATTCCCAGACCTCGCTGCTCTTACCTTCAGAGTGAGGTGGTGGACCCGGGCCCAGCACACAGACACAAGCAATACTACAATGGTAGCCGACAACCCCGAGCAGATCGTACTGCGCAGCGCCATGTTTATTCCAGCATCAGCATCCCTCTCACTTCCGGGAGTTGTCTCCACCCACAGTCACATGATCAACCCCCTCCCATCGCTGCCAGACAACTTCCTCGCGAGGTTCAGACCTGGCGGTGACGAATGTGAGTGCTGCGCATGTGCAATGGGTGATTTTCGGCCCTTACCGCGTCTGTGATGTCACGGCCTTTACGTTGCGTCGGGGGCGTGGCGCCGCATGACGGCATAACATAAAAGCTACAGTTAGCACAGGTGGCGGCGCGGCTTTCGTTTGCTGCTATACCACCAACGGCAAGCTTAGTAAGGAGGCGGTATAGCCAGGACCGGATTTCCTATAGGGTCAACCAAGGCCTGGCCTCGAGGCAGCAGGGGTGTGGAATTCATGTCTCCCTATGCCCGGGGCATTGTCAGTGTCACTGAAATGGTGTTTGCACCTGGCTCTCAGCTATTCACCATTCCAATGGCACTGATAGTGCTGTTACTGCCACACCATTTCAGTGACACTGACCTTGCCTGTAGGTAGCAGCCAGGTGCACTGTTAGGCCCCATTCACACTGAGCGATATATATCGCAGGTAATTCCCACGATATCGCGACTATTTACCGCGCGATATCGCTCTCCAATGCATGGCAATGGGGCTCTGTCCGTCTCTGTCGCGGGTCGTGCGTCGCTACAGCAGGACCCTTTTTGGAGCGGATTTTGCAGCGATTCTAGCTTGCTCAATGCAAGCATGTCACGCGATATGGCGCAAAATGCAAACGCGCGATTTGCGAATCGCTCAGTGTGAATGGGGCCTGAGTGTCCCTGCCACCTAGAAGCATGGTCAGTGTCACTGATCTGGACTGTGCACTTTCCCCCACCTGTTAACCATCTGGTGAGTCCTCCTTTACATCCGAGGCCTAGACTCTAGTGTAAGGGGAGACTGCTGCGAGTTTGATTTTTCGAGTTGATATTATGGTAAAATGATGTAAAATATAGTTGTCAGTTTTTGGAAAGGGGCACAGTTTCAGTGCTTAGCATAGGTGCTATTTTCTGTAGATCTTCCACTGTATGTGACATGTTCATCTCCAGGGTTGTACCGATACTAGTATCAGTATCGGTGCTGATACCGAGTATTTGGGCGAGTACTCGTACTCACCCAAATGCTCCGATGCCTAGCCCGATACCGGAACTTCCGGTATCAGGAAGCCGGCTCCATGCTCCCTCGTCACCTGCCTCCCTTGTCACCCCAGTCATTACCTGCCCCCCGGCTTCCTGATTCGCCAGTAAGCCGGCTTCATGCTCCATCGTTACCTGGTGATGAAGGAGCATGGAGCCAGCTTCCTGGCCAATCAGGAAGCCGGATGTCGTGTAATGACTCGCTGCCCAGCTTCCTGATTACGGGGCGAGTAATTACCTGCCCCCCGAATTCCTGATTGGCCAGAAAGCCGGCTTCATGCTCCATCGCCACCTGGTGAAGGAGCATGGAGCCGGCTTCCTGGCCATTCCAAGCCGGGCACTGTGTAATGACTTAACTGATTGCTGGAGAAGCTGGCCAATCAGGAAACCGGGCTTCCTGATTGGCCAGAAACCCGGCTCCATGCTTCCTCGTCACCTGGTGACAAGGAAACATGGAGACAGCTTCCCTGCTAATCAGGAAGCTGGGTGGCGAGTCTTTTTACGCGTTGCCCGCCGAATCGGTAAGCCAGGTGGCAAGTAATTACGTGCCACCTGGCTTCCTTAATGGGACTTCCAGTATCGGTATTCGGTATCGGCAAATAGCGGGAAAAAATATCAATACTCGATACCGAAAAAAACGGTATCGGTGCTTCCCTAATCTCCATCCTCCCACAGTATGTGACTTGTTCTTTAACCCCTTCATCTCTATCTTCCCATCATATGTGACTGATGTGACCGTGTTTCATGTTATAACCTAAATATGGGTGTGCCATGAAACAGTCAGAAAGGTGAACTTAGTCTTTAAAAAGCACTCGGGGGTCTGTAGAGACGCCCGATCGCTTGTAATATGCATGCGGATGTGCGCCCCCCCCCCTCCATTGCAGCTGCTGCTGGCGATCTGAGCTCCGCTGTGCCCGGTGCGAGCCCGGGACCAGCACAGCAGCTCTGCGGCCAGAGATCAAACGGAGCTCAGTACACAAGCTCCGTTTGATCTCCTCTTCGGAATGCAGGAAGTGATGTGTATTACATCACTTCCGCATTCCTCTGCCACTCTCTGGTAGAGAAGCTGGTGAAGCAGGTGTTTGCTTCATCAGCTTCTCTGAGGGTCCCTAGGTGACATTAGGGGTCTTAAAGACCCCTGATGTCTCCATAAAGAGGACCTGACACTGAAAATTGGCTATCACAAAGAGGGCTTGTTAGTCCCCTATGTAATAGCAATAAAGCTAAGTGAAAAAAAAAGTTTAAAAGAATTAGTTAAAAAAAATATATTAAAAAATTAAAAGTCACATATAAAGGTAATAAAAAAATGTTTTTAAGTCCCCCGCCCCCCACATACACATGCAAACATGCGTCGAGTGCGCCTACATGCAGAAATTACGATTGCATCCATTACGCCGCACATGTTACATATCGCCGCAAACGTCGCAGTGAGAGCAATAACTCTAGGCCCATCAACCACTGATAACACTAAACTGATGAGCGGTAAAAGCTTTTAAAGCGTCGCCTACCCAATTTTGGGTATGGTAGTTTTTGCAATTTTAGAGCTTGACATGTTTGGTGTCTATTTACCCGACGTGACCCCGTCTTTTATATTTTGCCAAAAATTTGGGTAATAATAAATGTTTTATAACATAACGTAGAGTAAACAGGGTTTTTTTCGAAATTTTCTGTACTTTTTTCATTATATAGTAAAAAATAAAAACCCCAGTGGTGATTAAATACCACCAAAAGAAAGCTCTATCTGTCTAATTCATTTCAGTACAGCGTTGCATGACGGAATAAATGTCAGTCAAAGTCAAATGTCAGTTGAACACTGAAAAATGGCCTCGACAGGAAGGGGGGTCTAAGAACAGCGGTCAGCAAGTGGTTAAAGATCCTGGAAAGGATACTTTTCACTCAGCACTTGCTAGATAAAAGCATGAGGAGCAATGACTGGGAGAGGCCCTGCAACCTCTACAATTGCTCTGTACCTAAAACAAAAAGGGACCAACCAGTGACATTTGTGGGACACTGGATCCAAAAATGGCTAGAACAGGCCGCCATCATCCAAAGTCATCTAAAGGGGTGACCAGTGATGCACAGTTACGACACAAGTCAATAACATGATCATTTACAAACTCATTTCTCATTGGAGGAATTGCTCTCCAACCATCACCCAAGGTCAGTGTCCAGCTTTAGAAAGATGGCCTTCTGAGAAATCACATAAAAATGGGGGGAAATCAATCTTCCCTCAAATTTGTGACCTTGTCTAGAGATGGAAAGATGTAGAGACAAGTATGGAGCCTTCATCGGCCGGTGTGACATTCAGGATTTGAATCAATCCATCATCTCCTCCGTTTCCCCAGAATTCAAGCTTCTGCTCTCCTCATGTACTGTAATCCAGAACAGGAGCTTAAAGGTGCCCATACACCTTACGACCATCGCAAGACTTTTGTCTTGCGATGGTCGTAAGCTTATTAAAAGCTCGTACGATCTGCCCATCTTCGACAGGCAGATCGTACTTGCGATTATCGAAAGCCCGTTCCGCTTAGGGGCGTGTTTCCAATGACCGCAGTGAGGGGCGGGCTTCGGATCACTGCAAACGGGCAGTGTGCATGTTAGGGTTCATAGAAGGGGAAAAAGATGCCCACGGGTCTACAACCCCCTTGTGTGTAGAAATCACTACATTTATTGGATCTTCATTCCATCTACTGAAGAAAAGCAACAAAACTAGTGCGCTTCTGGAAGAACCCTTAACTGGTTGCCATCCAGCCGTTGTAATTAAATGGCTGGACAGCAGAATGTTAATGCAGGTGGCCATTTTTGAATGTCCGTTAGTGCTCCCGCAGATCTCTGCTTCCTTAACTTCTTTGGGATCCCTAGGTGACATTAGGGGTCTAATAGAACCCTGATGTCTCAATAAAGAGGACCTGTCACTGTTTTCGTGCTATCACATAGGGAGTGTGTTAGCCACCTATGTAATAGCAATAAAGTTAAGTGTACAAAAATTAAAGTCACGTTTTTAAAAACCCCAAAAACTTGTTTGAAGTCCCCCACACCCACGTACACACAAACGCAAATCCCAGGTTGACCCGGGTGATAAGGGGGGTTGTTAGTCAAATCCCAGGTTGACCATTCTATTAGTGTCAGTATGGTACAGATTGTGTCTCTGCGGAGACGTCTCTAGTAGTTTCAGTATAGTACAGATTATGTCTTTGTGGAGACGTCTCTACTAGTCTCAGTGTAGTACAGATTGGGTCTCTGGGGAGACGTTTCTACTAGTGTCAGTATGGTACAGATTGTGTCTCTGCGGAGACGTCTCTAGTAGTGTCAGTATGGTACAGATTGTGTCTCTGCGAAGACCTCTCTAGTAGTGTCAGTATGGTACAGATTGTGTCTCTGCGGAGATGTCTCTACTAGTCTCAGAATGGTACAGATTATGTCTCAGCGGAGACGTTTCTATTAGTGTCAGTATGGTACAAATTGTGTCTCTGCGGAGACCTCTCTTGTAGTGTCAGCATGGTACAGATTATGTCTCTGAGGAGACGTCTCTACTAGTCTCAGTATGGTACAGATTGTGTCTCTGCGGAGACGTCTCTAGTAGTGTCAGTATGGTACAGATTGTGTCTCTGCGAAGACCTCTCTAGTAGTGTCAGTATGGTACAGATTGTGTCTCTGCGGAGATGTCTCTACTAGTCTCAGAATGGTACAGATTATGTCTCAGCGGAGACGTTTCTATTAGTGTCAGTATGGTACAAATTGTGTCTCTGCGGAGACCTCTCTTGTAGTGTCAGCATGGTACAGATTATGTCTCTGAGGAGACGTCTCTACTAGTCTCAGTATGGTACAGATTGTGTCTCTGCGGAGACGTCTCTAGTAGTGTCAGTATGGTACAGATTGTGTCTCTGCGGAGACGTTTCTACTAGTGTCAGTATAGTACAGATTGTGTCTCTGCGAAGACCTCTCTGGTAGTGTCAGTATGGTACAGATTGTGTCTCTGCGGATATGTCTCTACTAGTCTCAGTATGGTACAGATTGTGTCTCTGTGGAGACGTTTCTACTAGTCTCAGTATAGTACAGATTATGTCTCAGCGGAGACGTTTCTATTAGTGTCAGAATGGTACAGATTGTGTCTCTGCGTAGACCTCTCTTGTAGTGTCAGTATGGTACAGATTATGTCTCTGCGGAGACGTCTCTACTAGTCTTAGTATGGTACAGATTGTGTCTCTGCGGAGACGTCTCTAGTAGTGTCAGTATGGTACAGATTGTGTCTCTGCAGAGACGTCTCTTGTAGTCTCAGTATAGTACAGATTGTGTCTCTGCGGAGACGTCTCTAGTAGTATCAGTATGGTACAGATTACGTCTCTGTGGAGACGTCTCTAGTAGTCTCAGTATAGTACAGATTATGTCTCTGCGGAGACGTTTCTTTTAATGTCAGTATGGTACAGATTGTGTCTCTGCGGAGACCTTTCTAGTAGTGTCAGTATGGTACAGATTGTGTCTCTGCGGAGACCTCTCTAGTGGTGTCAGTATGGTACAGATTGTCTCTGTGGAGACGTCTCTAGTAGTGTCAGTATAGTACAGATTGTGTCTCTGCGGAGATGTCTCTACTAGTCTCAGTATGGTACAGATTGTGTCTCTGCGGAGACGTCTCTAGTAGTCTCAGTATAGTACAGATTTTGTCTCTGCAGAGACGTCTCTAGTAGTGTCAGTATGGTACAGATTGTGTCTCTGCGGAGACGTTTCTAGTAGTGTCAATATAGTACAGATATAACACTACCCAGCTCGTATCTGCGCACCCTTAAATCGGTGGTAAAAAAAATATATATATAGTACAGGTTGTGTCTCTGCGGAGACGTCTCTAGTAGTGTCAGTATAGTACAGATTGTGTCTCTGCGGAGACCTCTCTAGTAGTGTCAGTATGGTACAGATTGTGTCTCTGCGGAGATGTCTCTACTAGTCTCAGTATGGTACAGATTGTGTCTCTGTGGAGACGTTTCTATTAGTGTCAGTATAGTACAGAGTGTGTCTCTGCGGAGACGTCTTTAGTAGTCTCAGTATGGTACAGATTGTGTCTCTGCGGAGATGTCTCTAGTAGTCTCTGTATGGTACAGATTGTGTCTCTGCAGAGACGTCTTTAGTAGTCTCAGTATGGTACAGATTGTGTCTCTGTAGGCATGTTTGTGGTTGTCAGTATAGTACTCACGTTATATCTGCAAACACGTTACTGGTTGTAATTGCAGACATTTTGTTGTGATCCACATCTGTAAATATGATGACACTTTTACTAATATTATAATAAAGTCTTGGTAAATTAGTTGTGGTTTTACCACTCCCTGTGCTGGGGGGAGGTAACACAAAATATTTGGTCTAATGGATAAAATAAATATAAAGTTGGACATACACTTATAGATTTCTTATGTTCAGCCTGCAGGTAGAATTAGAGAAATCTAATAGATTTCTGTTAACCGATGTGTAGCATGGATAGAGGAATCTCCCCTCCTGAGCTATTGTATTCTGACAGAAGGCATCCACTGCTGTCAGCATACATGAATGGTGATTGTTGCTGATTGGCTGCAGTCAGTGTTCAAGCAACAACTGAATAATTGACTGTTGTGGAGCCGGATAGTGCCAGCAGGCAGTGGCGTCACAAGAGGGGTGCGGCAGCCTCGGGACGCCCCTGACGGCAGGCCCACACACAGCTCAATGTTTGAACAAGCTGTTAGGACTAAAATTCAAGCAGTGTATGGGCAGCTTACATCTGGCCACTGAACAACTGGCTTCCTATGGGGAAAGCTACACAAGTAGCATGCAGTAGCACCTTCTAGGCATTCATGGCACATCATTGGAACACTGTGCTAGCATGCAAGGTTGAATCCAACTACATGCTGCCTGGTTAGCGTACTCCATAATGTAGATCAGCGATTGTAGATTGTGCCATTGAAAATAATGGAGCCGATCTCCCTATGTCCTCTAGCGCAGCGTTTTTCAACCACTGTGCCGCGGCACACTAGTGTGCCGTGAGATATTGTCTGGTGTGCCACGGCTTTGGCTCACAAATAGACCAATCATACCGGTGCGAGAGCAGGGGACGCGGGTCGGCAATGGAGCCGCGACGAGAGCTGGGAGCATGGAGCAGCCGCGATATTTGCCCACAGTGCGAACGCCGGCACCTGAACGCATGGCACATTAGTGCCTGTGTTCCGCTCCAGTGCGATCTGCTAAAATAGTACATGCAGCATTTTTTCTCATCGCACTGGACCGGAACACAGGCATTGATGTACCACACGTTCCAGTGCAGGCGATCGCACTGGGCTGGGGGGCGTGGCTGCGGTGCCATTGACTTCAATGCACCACCACACACCCCTCCCAAGACATGCTCAACTCTTGGCCAATGTGCGTTTTCTGGATGGTGATGCAATTATAGAAAACTAATTTTTTTGCAAGGCATTGCCAGAAAAAACAACAGGAGAAGAAATAATTTATTTGTGTTTATTTGATTCCTATTCAAGAGAATTACTTTATATATAGTCAATATAGGCACAGAGGTACATTTTTTAAACATTTTCTAATGGTGGTGTGCCTCGTGATTTTTTTCATGAAAAAAGTGTGCCTTTGCACAAAAAAGGTTGAAAAACTGCTCTAGCGCAGGAAACCTCATGCAGCAACTCTCCACCAGGTGGCGCCCCGTTGCCTTGAATGGCAGCGTTCTCTCAGACACGCCTACTTTCCCGTCCTGGTTGCTTTCCAAAGCGCATCAAAATAGTGAAGGCTCCGCCCCCTATGAGCTGATTGGTTCAGCAGGAAGATCCCATATTAACCGTTATTCTTTCATGAGCTTTCACGAGCTGTCAAATAAAGCCCCTCCCCTTTAATACTATGGGAACGCCTACTGATAATCTTTGCCCGGCCCAAAACCTTACGCTATCTGTAAAATACGCCTTTATCACTATAAGGTGACGGAGGGTCGGAGCCGCGCAATTCTGTCAGAATCCCTTGTATGTGAGAGCGCGCAGCCACCCGGCTTTCCCCCATGTTTATAAGTGGCCGAATTTCCACGCCCACTTAGGTAGCCAACTCCGCCCTTCGCTTGCTGCAGTCGCTGGCCACGCCCTCTCGCTCTGGCATGCTCTCCCCCTCTCTAAGCCGAATAACCCACCCCCCCTGCGCGCTCCCGCGGTGCTTCCCGAGCAGTCCGCACTCCCGCTCCTCCGCCAGTGTCAGGAGATGACACCGTGACACCCCGATCCAAGGAGAGACTCTCCGGTCCTGGGATATACTAATTGTGACACTGCTTTAGGTGGTACAGGCCCCCCCCAGCACCAGGAGGTACCATCATCCCTACACCCGGGGGGTCACAGCATCCATCGAGACACGCCCCCCACCGGGTGCCAAGCTGCTGTCATTGCCTGTTCATTCTGCAGCGCTGAGCGGGCGAGGGTCCCTGCCGCCCCCGGGACATCATGAGCTGGGGCACCGAGCTTTGGGTGAGTGACACCGTCCTTCCATGCTGATGACCGCTGACAGTGATACAATTAATCTTTCTTCGTTGGATAAGCTACAACGATCGTTATTTTACTGAAAATAATATGTATTTACCTTAATAATAATGCTGCAGAAATAGCACACGTTAAAGCTCATTGGAGTAAGACTTGATTGTGTCTATAAATATTTATACATTGTCCCTGTGCCCCGTTCCCCAATAGAGCGCTCAGTGTCCCCCACACTTACCTGTCCCCCATTGAGCGATCAGTGTCCACTCACACTGCCCCCCCACAGAGCGCTCAGTGACCCCCACACTGTCCTGTCCCCCCCATAGAGTGATCAGGGTTCCCCCACATTGTCCAGGGCCCTGTGCACCCCTATAGAACACTCAGTATCTCCCCACACTGTACTATTTCCCCAATACAGTGCTCAGTGTGCCCCCATACAGTGCTCCATGTCCCCCCACACTGTCCAGTGCTCAGTGTCCCCCCACATTGTCCAGTGCCCTGTGAACCCCCAGTGGAGTGCCCAGTGCACTCCCATTGTCCAGTGCCCTGTGAACCCCCAGTAGAGTACTCAGTGTTCCCCCACACTGTCCAGAGCCCGGCACACACTGAGTATACAGGATGTCTGGACACTGCTGGCCCTGTATATGACCAGTAATCTTTTCCTGATCCTGCGCTGCCTATACAATTACTCGGTGACCGTCCATACACTCTCTTTATACATTGACTGATCCATAGCTGTCCTTTACACACCCTGTGTGGGACTCTGTCCATTTGGCACATTGTGTCAATTATCTGCAGCTCACCCTCCATATCCGCTATGTCTAGGCGGTTCTTTATCCCCAATAGGCACCCCATTACTATACACAGAGTGCTGTATACCCCATAGACACTGCACATGTATCATCTATATACAGTGTTTTATTATAGACACCAACTCAATGCACATTGTGAGTCCACTGTGCTATATCATCATCATCAAAGCAGGTATCGATCACCACTCCTTCCAGAATTATTGTGTGTGTGTATGTTGTGCCTGTTATGTTGTGCCTATGCTGTGTCTGTCATTTGTAGATCTGTCACCACAATCCTCTACTTACAGTGCTGTATGCAGGGTACTGTCCATGTGTACTACACGTATACAGTATTGTATCTTCTGTGTGTACCAGACTCTCAGGCAGGGTTAGGGGGTTCATGAACAAGCTGCAATTTCTGACACTCAGATATGTAACCACTGACACCAAAGATCTTATTTGATATCTACAAGGGGAGCATTCTTTCCAATGACCACCAATCAAAGGGACATTCTTCTTCCCACTGACCACCAATGTAAGGGGAATTTTTCCCAATGACCACCAATGTAAGGGGACCCTTCTACCACTGGCCACCCTTCACTGGGTGCCATTCTCCCATTCTCCACTGACTACTAATGTAAGGGGGGCCTGCTCCACTGACCACCAATGTAAGAAGGGCCTTGCTCCACTGACCACCAATGTAAGAGGGGCCGGGTCCACTGACCACCAATGTAAGGGGGGCTCTGCTCCACTGACCACCAATGTAAGGGGGCTCTGCTCCACTGACCACCAATGTAAGAGAGGCCGGATCCACTGACCACCAATGTAAGGGGGCTCTGCTCCACTGACCACCAATGTAAGAGAGGCCGGATCCACTGACCACCAATGTAAGGGAGGCCTGCTCCACTGACCACCAATGTAAGAGGGGCCGGATCCACTGACCACCAATGTAAGGGGGCTCTGCTCCACTGACCACCAATGTAAGAGAGGCCGGATCCACTGACCACCAATGTAAGGGGGCTCTGCTCCACTGACCAATGTAAGGGAGGCCTGCTCCACTGACCACCAATGTAAGGGAGGCCTGCTCCACTGACCACCAATGTAAGGGGGCCCTGCTCCACTGACCACCAATGTAAGGGGGCCCTGCTCCACTGACAACCAGTGTAATGGGACCCTTCTCCCACTGGCCACCCTTCACTGGGTGCCATTCCCTAATGTCGACCAATGTAAGTGAACCCTTCTCCACTGACTACCAATGTAAGTGAACCCTTCTCCACTGACCACCAATGTAAGGGGGCCCTGCTCCACTGAACAACAGTGTAAATGGACCCTTCTCCACTGACCGCCAATGTAAGTGACTACTACAGTTTTTTTTACGGTCTGCCTTTCTTTTGTGGTCATAATTATTATCATTTGTCTCATTTTATTATTACGGACACATATTTTGTCATCTTAGCAGCCCTAGGTGTCAAATACACCACAACCTTCATACTTTTATATGTTCTTATGTTCTGTACAGAAATTATCAGGTTTCCTGGAGACGTGGAAATGATTTCCAGGGTTCTTCTAAGTTGAAAAGGTTGAGGAAGGCTGACCCGTAGAGTTGTTCATCAATGCTCTATATACATTATGGTGTTGTGCTGGTACATCTGTAATGTTTATTCAGTTACTCACCGATGCACCTTGTTCACATGCGAAAGTAAAAAACTACTATTGCTTACTTGTTTCTAAAAGCTGCATGTTCCAGGATTGTCATATCAACCTGGGATTCCCCTACTTTAGGGAATCACTCAGCTGTCACAAGTAGGCAGCAACTGAAAGCTGAAAGCTCCTGATCTGCTGGTTTCAGGTCAGGGATTTACTAGATAGGAGGTAGAATGAGAATTAAATCTGGATCAAACAAATATATATTGCCTATCAAATGTTTTATTTAACATTTTTGCTCCAACTCTCTCTAAGCTTGGTTTCCCTGAACATCCTGTCGTCCAGTACAAGATCACAAGGGACGGCCCAGTCTCCGGCAGCTGTCCACCTACTAGCTTAGAGAAGGGTGGAGAGGAGTGTCTTGCCTTGCTGTGTCTGTACATTTGTAGAGACGCACACAGCTTACTAGCACACACAAGTGTGTCTCCGTAGGACCCTACAAGGGAAAGGAGCCACCCTAAAACAGGATATAGTGGCCAGTGCTCAGGGGACCAGCTGCTTGTGCTGGAAACTAACATTTTTAAACATCAGGGAGCAGCATCCATTGTAAGTGATTTTTATCAGCATTTAAAATAGTTTAAAAACATTTTGACTTTATTATTATTTTAACACAACACAAGTATGATAATGGACCTTTTACAGGTTCCTTTAAAGGAGAACTATGAGGCGAGTGAAAATCACTCAGCCTCATAGGTCGAGCCGACATGTGACGATTAAACTGTCACAGGTCGGCTCAATAGATCGGGAAGTGAGCGAACACATACCATTGCTCGCTCACTTCTCGATCCTGTCCCTGCAGAGAGCTGTGACTGTCACTCACAGCTCCCTGCAGGGATTCCCCCCTCCCCCTGTCCGATCCTCCAGCGCTGATTGGCGGAACGGACGGGGGAGGGGGCGGGTACAGCTGGCTCTGCCTCTAGCTAGGCAGAGCCAGCTGTCACTCACGCAGCTGGGTGGATCCAGACAGTATTGTCGGGATCCGTCCCGGCTACAGCGTCTCAGTATACCGCAAGCTGTAGCTCACTATATACTGAGCTTTGGGTGACGGGAGGACGCTAGTTTATGTCCTCCCGTTACCCTTAGGAGAACTATGGGGAAAGCACTGACCCCATAGTTCTCCTTTTAATATGACAGAACCACTAAGTATATTTCATACATGCATTTCACTTTGTACTTGAATATAACATGCACACAATGTAACCATTTCACACATTGATCCATCCTGATATCTTAAGCTGCAGTTTAATGTAAGGTGTGCTATATAGCGCTTAACGTCTATCTACCTGTAGATTCACTAGGTTTTATATAGGTTTTTATTTTTAGGCAGTGCTGACCACTTCTTCAGCCCGTTCAAGAGTGCATAGAGCAGTCGTATGAGCACAAAGAGCTCTCAATCGTATGCCCCTAGAGCTCCACACACCAGGGCCAATGCCGAGCAGAAGGCAATCATTTTTTTGGTTTGTGGACTGAAATTCACACAAACACCAAAAGACCTTACAAATGCCGCATAGCCAATGTGCAGCAATAACCAGCCTTTAATTTTGAGGTGTATTGTAGTCTATTTCATTCCATCCTTATAGGGCTGCAACAACTAATCGACATAATCGATTATAATCGATTATTGAAAAAGTTGTCAACTTTTTCAATAATCGATTAATCGGCTCCCGATCAGTTAGCCCTGTTCACGGCTCCACACGCTGTGCGCCGCACCTCCTCCCCACCTCACGCTCGCCGCTGCCAGACCCGCTCGCATCCACGCTCTTCACGCCGCACCTCCTCCCCGCCTCACACTCACCGCCCGCCCACATCCACGATCGGCACAGGGACGCGGGGAGATGTAGTAAGGAGGAGCAGGTGTGGGGGGATGACAGCCGCTGATAGACAGGTCCGATCTCAGAAGCAAGTTGCTGGAAGACTGCTCAGGTAAGCCTGCACTCTCCCACACATGGTGCTCTATAATGTATTGCTGGGATTTGTATTTCTCTATAGCTGATGGTACATTGTGCTGTATATTATACATAGGAATACAAATCCCAGCAATGCATTATACACTGTATGTATAATGTACTATTGCTGGGATTTGTTGTACTCCTCTATAGCTGGTGATATTCTGCATTGCACTGTATAGAGGACTACAAGTCCACGCAATAATACATTATACAGCGCAATGCAGAATACCACCAGCTATAGAGAAGTACAACAAATCCCAGCAATAATACATTATAAAGTGGTACAATGCTAAATACCACCAGCTATAGAGGACTGCAAAACCCAGCAATAGTACATTATACAGCGCAATGCAGAATGCGCTTTTGCTGGGTTTTGTAGTCCTCTATAGCCGTTGCCATTCTGCATGCATTGCTGTATAATTTTACACTTTCCATTTCACTATATTGCACACCACACTATCTTTTTTTTTTCTTTTTTACTTCCACCGGTCCAAGCTTGCTCCTGTGGTGGATTACAACCTCAATACAAACTAGTAGTCCCATCACTGGA